CTGCTTTTTCGCAATTCTTCAAAACTCACATGCTTCTCTTCAGTCGTCCCCGATTCTCGCGAGTCATCTGTCAAAGTAACTGCAACGGCTTCAATACTGGGACTCGTATCGTGATTCGTCTCCGTTAGTTGCTTCTGTTGATTAGAGCAGGTAGGATTTAATTTTGGCGCTTCTGTTTCCCGTTTGTTCTGCCTCTCTCGTCCCACACCCACTCATCCCTTATAAGGACGAGACGCAAATAAAAAAGAAACGGTAACTGGTAACAAGAACTAGAACAACAGCACCTCTAACCTACTCTTAAGATGCGTATGGTCTTCCTCTTCTTCCTCCTCGTCTGCATATTCGCTTTGGAGTCGTATTAGCTCGTCACGCTGCCTTGATACATCCTCTTCACTTCGTCGTCTTTGGAAAATGGTAATTCTTTCCCCAACAGCTGAATCCTGGTTTAATATTGGGCCATCATCGACAGGGGACTCGTTATTAGCTCCACCGTCAACATCTTCCCCTCGATCTTCATCCTGCATCTTTACTACTGCATCTCGGAGAATATCGCTCCTCTCGTTGTCTTTGTGGCTTTTCTTATCCTCCTCTAGAAAGAAGTCCTCCACGTCCTCCGCAGGTAAATCCATTGATGCGGCCCCCTCTTCAGTTGTTGGTAATGGCAACATGGAGTTCGACAACGTCGGAGAAAAGCCACCACTTCCAACCACAGGAGAAGGAGAAGCGCCAAAAGCGACTACCGAATTTCCAAAAGACAGAGCTGGGGAAATTTCCACGTCGATGAAACTTTGTGTCTGGAGTCTTCTTCGACTAGTACCCTGTGTCGCCACCTCCTGGCCGTCTCCTATCTCATGACTCGGATCATCAACTACATTTGCAGCGCGAAAAAGACTTTGGAGATTTGAGGACTTGCTGATATTGTTTTCCCTTTCCTCAATCACTACAGTCCTTGGCGTACCACCTGAAGGTGAGGAAGATGGTGCTGGTTGTACTAGTGTGTGAAGCCTATCTACTTCATCTACGAGTGCAGACCCGAGATCCTCTTGTGATTGCAGATTCGGTTCCTTGCTGATTGCAGTCGATGACGAGAAAAGCTCTTTTCGTCTAATGACAACCTTTTTTGCCTGAGGAGCCTCGTCCACTAGAAGTTGTTCTTCATTTTCGTATTGTGATCTCACAGGGTGGTCGGTTGTTGAAGAAGCTCCTCGTGTTGTGTGGGGTTCACCAACATCTCCATGATCATGACCATGATCACCCTGTTTAGCTGTTTTTTTACCCCCAGGAGAAGCTCGTGCACTTTGCCCACCCAGACCCAGCATTTGCTTCTTGTTTTTCCTTGTTGGTGACAGTCTTTCCAAAATCTCGGTCTCTTCGTCTTTGCCAAAAATGCAGATCTTTTCTAGCAATTTCTTACGTCCATTGGACAGCTGCTTTCGTGCGTGCATGTCTTAGCGCTAGTTTTTCACTTGTATCCCTGGCTGATTTAGGGAGTTCCCCTGCTTTGTCCTCCATCTATTTTCTTGTTTCTCCTTTAAGTTTAAGAAAACACAGGACGACACTCAACTCTCAGCATACATAGTTCACATGGGATTATGAAAAGCAAGCCTTAAACCTCCTTCGAGTGCGCTTCGCGCAAAGCGCGGTTCTCTTCCTCGAGTTGGGGAAGGGTCACGTCATGGGATCCGGGACACAGCTGGTGTAATTCGACAGCAAGCTTTGTGGCTCTCTTGACACCCGCACGAGCTCGCTTGCTCGCGTCTTTCGCAGCCTCGTGTGAATCCATCAACGTCTCGAATTCCGCTGCAGCCTGGTGGAAGTCGTTCTTGTATTTCTTTTCATACAGTCAGTAGTAAATCATGGTGGATGATGAACGGGTTGCACTAGAGCAGATTGAAGTATTCAAGCAACGACATCTTCACTCGCTCATATCTAATGAATGTTCTTGTACCAACATCAACAACAACATACAGCGATAGCATCAGTATCGATACATCTTCCTCTAGCCCTCGAGGTCCGCCACCTGGATTCCCCTTTCCGATCCGCTTCGCCAAAACCGCTCTCGCGGTGTCAACTGAAAGAAGTTTGCCACTCACGAGATGATCTAGGATTCGCTTTTCACGCGCTGCCCGCTTGTTCACTATTGACGTCGTATTCGTATCTGCTTTTGCGTTTATTTCACCTGGCCCAGAGGAAGGGCCACCTATAATTTCTGCTTCTGCGGCAACATCAGTCGTTTCATCGCCGTCGTCATAGTCACCTCTTGTTAATGATGAAGAAGAAGTCTGGCCCTTGTAGTTATTCGGCTCTACTCTTTCCTTCTTCGCATCTGCAGGCCCTAACCCGACGATATCGACCTCTAATTCTGGTCCGCCAGGCGCCACCCTTGTCAAAGTTCTATGGTGCGCAGCCTCAGCCTTTCTATGTGCTTCCTCGAAAGCGTCAACGATATGGTCCTGATGCTTCGCGTTGGTCTCAAGCCGCTGCCTCATTTTCTCCGCTTTTGAGGCATGCCTCTATCTTTAGAGGGTGAGGGAGATCCACCCTTTTCTTCAACCATGTCGAAGTCAATCATGTTAGCTTAGACTCAATGGGATGTTGAATCTAGATCTACTTTTCGGCGCAAGAACCGCAATAAAATTCAATCTCACTTGTTGATACAGCCTTAATCTTTCGTGTGCAGCTCTAATTCCTCCGACAAGTCCAGAGCCTGCAGTATAGTTTCCACATCAACAGAGCCATCTTTACTTTTTGCCGCCAGCATTTGTTCTAGCTGTGCTTCTGTTTGTTGATTCAACTCCTCGTGCTCGTGCTCGAAAATGTCTTCCTTTTCATCTATACAACCTCCCGACGCCTCCAGAAAGAACTGCTGTAAAGATTCTATGTCTTGATGTTCAGGTGGTGCTTGCGATTGAGAAGTCTGATGATTCACGTTCAGGAGGTTGCTCGTATGATCTGGTTGAAAAGAAGTCAAAGTCTGGTCTGGGATGACGAGACGTTCTACCTGGTCCTGGTGTTCCTCACTGTAAAAGAAGTACCTTGAAGAAGCAGCAGGCCTAGTTCTTGTATTTTCAGAGACGCTCCCACCAGTGGCCGCGCCGTCCTCTGCTGCACAAGCACATGTAGTTGTAGTAGTATTGCCTGCACTTACGACAATTGACATCAAACCCGCCTGCTGTTCCTGCTCACCAGATGACTTCTTTTTCGACAAATCAACCTGTTCTTGCTGAAAGTCAAGCACTGTTTTCGTCCCTTCAGTGATTGCCCTTCGTCGAGCGCCCTCTGCAGAAGTGGCTTCCGCTAGTTTCTGTAGTCTCTGCTGTTCTACAGGGTCAAGGTTCCGATGTCGATCGCGTTTCCTATGCATCTTCAGTCTTGCTTTGCGCATTTCTATATTCTGATTGTAGTTCGAGGACGATGAGCTTGAAACGGCAGTAGTAGTAACTCTTGGCTTTGGTTCTGGTTGTACGTCATGGTGGTCATGGATTGGCTCTCCAATTATCGCCTTCTTGGCCTTCCCAGAAGAACCAACATTTACGTGCCGAAGGTTGCGTTTTGTGGCAGCAAGAGGTATAGATGAAGAAGACGAAGAGCCTCCACACTCTTCGGTTCCCATGTACTTTTCCAAACCTTCCAGGTTTGGTTCAAGCCGATTCTCCGTCTCTTTTTTGCTTACACTGACGATTTTCCCTACACTGGATGAAGACACTGAACCATTGACGATCTCCGCAACTGGAGATGTGGGTTCGACTTGATGTTCATCCGTCATCTTTTCCGTTTTTCTTTCGCTATAATCAGCATCTTCTTCCTGCTCAAGAACACCCTCGCTTTCCTCGCTTTCGGTTCCCTCCTTCAAAAAAACAGTAAGTCCATCGTAATGGACTTGCAGTCGTGCTATTCTTCGTTCTTCTTTGATCCTCGCCTTCTCCGCAGCTGCTTCCTTCGCTCGCTGGACGGCTTCAGCCCTAGCTCGAGCTTCGGCTTCTGCTTTCTGCCTCGCGGCATCTTCCTCTGCTTTCCGTCGTGCTCGAGCGGCTTTCCGGACTTCAGACACACTACGACTGGTTCGCTCAGCACGGTCAGCGAGCGACACACGGCACATCGGTCTTCTGAGACTCGGGAGGCCGTCTCCTCGGGAAATGCGACGCGAAACATCCGTCTGTACAGGAGCAGAACCTCCCAGGGGTAGATTCTGATCGGCATTCGACGAAATTCTCTTGTTCGCGTCCTCCTGCGCATGGAGGCCATCCTCATGTTCGCCGTTCCTCTTGTTCTCGCACCAAGGCTCCCCGCGACCGACTAGGATGTCTTCACGATCTTCTTCATCCCTCGTACCAACCTCTTCTTCTACACAGACGAGAAGGTCGGTTCCTGCGTCATCTTCTCGGGATGATAGGACTCGACGCAAATCCTCGCTGAAGGATGTATCTACCATGTGTCTAGGAACTATGCGGAAAATGCGTTTATGTGGAGAAAAACAGCCTTAGTCCTAATTCAATTTTCATTTTGCTTCTTGGAGTTCAGCTTCCTGGAGCTATCATGTCGTGACTGGATACACAGAGGACAATGACAATCGCAACTACGCGATCCTTCGAAGGCATACCAGCTGCTTGTTGTAGTCTTTACCTGCTCCACCTGCTAGTTCTAGTTTTTATAAGTTCTAAATGATCCACCTGACCTCGGCGGGCCGCTGTCTGGTTGTATCGTTCCAATTACGTTTCATTTCTTCCTTGCTGGAATTTCAATCGCACGCTATTTCTAGTGGGAAAGGTGGGACAGAATTTGATACTTTTTTCTCAGAAATATTTATAAAGGTGTTTCTCTCGTGGTCGTCTCTCGCGCTAGTACACATTGGGGTCTGGCGCTCGAGACGGATTTGCTAAAAGTTTAACAGAAGAAAAAGTTGACGAGACTCATCCTACAGAATTCCACTCAAGTTCTTCTTGATTCCTTTTCCCTCCTCTGTCGAAACAGTCAGGTGAAGCAGTCACAGAGGAAGTCGTGCCAGAGCCAGAGCACTTCCAGTCCTGTTGCCAACATGGCGTCCCCTTCATGGCGGCAGCAGCAGCCAGTGCCAGGTGTATGATCGAGTTTAAGATTATTCTCAAACAAGTATGTAAGTCGTCGCGACACAGTAAATATTTTGACTTTCTCAGCACAAGTAGAAGATTCGTCTACAACGTGATTCGATTCGAATTCCTCACTAGATATATTGAAATGGGGCGATTATGTATGTGAAGCTCAATTCTCAAGCTAGTCGTGGTTCTTGGAAAGCCAGGCTTCTGCGCTACTCTAGCACAGGGCCATCCTCCACTTTTTGCCGCTTTGGTGCTGGAGCCCCGTTACCTGCATTGAAAGGATCACTCTCATTTTCTTCCCTCTCTCCCTCGTCAGTGCTAACCGCAGCCTGCTTTTTGTACGTATTCAACTTCTCCCATGGGATCTCCGCTTGCTCCTTGATAGGATGCTTCACATCGATTCGGCGTCGTATCTAATCAGGAGGAAGATGAATGCGCCAGGATGTCTTTTGTGCAAATGAGACGAGAACTCATCTTCTAGTAGATGCTGGTGATCATAGCTCTTGTGAGTGATGTACTAAAGACGCACGAATAAAAAACGTCAAGAATTTATTACTGAAAACGCAATGATCCCGTGGGAGGAGATAAACAAAAAGAAAATTATACCCTTGTCCAATCGATTTTCTTGGGTCGTTTTTCTGGATCTTCGTTTAGCTCATCGTCTGTGTACTCGTGTGCGACATACCATCCGACGCGATAGAATTCATGCCCTTTATAGGATGCCGTGAATACTATGCCTCCCATTTCTAGATGCAAGGCCTCCGGAATCAACTCGAAATCTGGTGGCTCTCCGATAAGCTCCGCTTTTCTTTTGCCGGTCTGAAGAATCAAAATTATGCATGTGTATATTAATCATCATGTTGTGCTTGTGATGGAAGAAAAGGTAGAAATAATATATTTCATAAAATCGCGATCTATTTCAATAGTACCTTCAATAGCGGCCCTATTTCCACATCATCCAAAATCTGATCCTCGAGGTCGCTCGCGGCTGCTATGAGCGCAGTCATAGACTTCTCAGACACATCTGGTCCTAATTCTTCTTTTCCTGCATGACATGGCAAGAACGTGAGTTTAAAGTCGACGAAACCCGTTAAAGGCTCTTTTACGTCGAAGAAAATCGTAAGCTTAAAGGGATCGCTCCATGGCGCTTCCCCCACTCTATTCTTCTCGGCTGATGACGAAGATGGCGTGGCCACTACTTTCTCGATCCCACTCGCACCTACGGGGGCTGGCTCATTCGAGTCCTCGTTCGACGCCCATGAAATAGCTTCGAATACGATTGCGGCCATTTTTCTTCTATCTTGTAGTGCTCCTTAGCCTTAGCAGGGTGTATTCAATCTTAATGATCCCTTGGAGAAGATTTAATGAAGAAACCATAGCATGCGTGAAGGTGAACGTGAAGGAATAGGAAATACAAGAGAGGAAATGTTGAAAGCGGTCAATTCAAATCAGAGTCAGATTAGGTGGATGAGTCAGAGCGTTACTTGGCTGAAAGGGCGGACGAAACGACGTCGAAAAAGAACATATAGCACACACCGCCACTCCTGTCGACTTCGATAATTTAAGAAGCAAGAGTGCAAAAAACAATAAGTACTACAATTATAAAAGGGACATCCCGGCTAGTTCTATGGAGGAGAAAACTTCTAGTTTGTATCCTAGTACAGTAAGATTCGGGATCGATCTTTTGCTTTTGATTGTCCACAGCTTTTTCTCGACACGGTCCTCTCACGAGCTGAGTTTGATGTTGTTGCTGGACTGGACTCCGACTCTTGAGGTCGTCAGGAGGATCTCTGATCTACATCTGAAACCGGTGATCCCGTTCCTGCTTTTGGAGCCTGATAAGCTTCATCTTTATCCATTTTCAACTACGACCACGACATCTGAGAACAACTCCAGTGGTCCCCGTCCACGACGCGGAAACTAAACTTCATCTTCGCAGAAGAAGTCCTTTTCACTACTTAAGAAGTGTGTGTTGGATGTTGTTGCAGGTAGGGCATTTGAGAGCAGTTTTTTCTATGACTCATTCTCGTCCTGAAAGACACACAAAGAAAAGAGCCCAGAAGGATGCAAGAAGGGCATTTCGGACGACAAGGTTTATTCCATTTCAACTGAGTGTAGTTGTTCGATTCATCATGAGTACTAGATGAGTTCTGTTTGTACAACTGTCAGTCACTGCGTGAGTGCTTAGTTGTCATAGTGTCGTGTCCAAGAACATTTTTGAAGACCATTATTTTCCACCCCGATCTAATATAACATTCCAAAAACATCACTAGTACATAGAAGCTCTGTATAAGTATATAACAAGTTAAGACCTACTAGAACGTCTTGCTGACCTTGATGTTTTTGTTCATCCAACAAAGTGGCTGTTTATTCATCTCAACAAGAAAAAGAACAACAACATGCGAGATGTAGCAAGTTCTTTGACTTTCTTGATCTAACTTTTTTCTATACAACAGCCTGTATATCATCAAGTAGTTTATAGACCGAGAAATAGAAAATGGTACTGCTCAACTACTGTGTTGACATAACTGCTTTTCTTTACTAATAACTTAGAAGTTTGAAGACTCTAAGTCAGAGCATGTTGCCAGCGTTCATTCATCTACCGAAGTCATTCGTTCATGATGAAGTCATAAGAAAAGAGGATGGCAACGACCATGGTGCACCTATCATGAGGCTTGTCATAGTACCAGTACTTATTGCATGATAGACATTTTTTAGTATGTTGTTGTGCAGCGTTACCGTCCAGCCTCACGTCGTGATTATGACGAAACGAAGACCAACATGAACATAATAAAAACTACATCCTACCATCTAGGCATTATGTTGATAGATCATACTCATACTTCTTCATGCATCTCTGTAAGAAGGAAGTCTTCTATAAGAAGTAAGCAGACAAGCGTCTATCATTAGAAACCCATTATTTCGGATGCAAAAAAGCGGTATAGTTCCTGTGGGAGGAGTAGAGCGATAGTTGCCATTTTCAATATGGACCTAGAAACTGTATTGCTTGAGGATTCATGAACGTCGAACAAGAAGAGGAAATAGAACAACTCCTATGATGCAAATGAACGATACATGTAGAAACAACGATCATGCGCAACCACTGATAGATGAGAACAAACCAAAGCTCTTTTGATGTTATACTAGGTTTACAGGCAGAGATCTTATGAAGACTCATATACATAGAAGCCTGATAAATTCTTCGTACATCAGTTCTTGCATGGTTCTAGTACAGCTACTTTTACTCGGCGATGTAGGTAGGTAACATATGCGAGGGGGGTGCAAGCAGGGCACATGGTTGAAGATCATAAATGAAAACTTCCGCTTTTCCCAGCTCGGGAACTTCTTAGCTTTTAGCTTGTCGTTGACCTTGATTTACCATAGCTTGTTGCTGACCTTGAACCTTGATTTATACCGTAGCTTGCTCGTTGTTGACGTTGACGTTGACCTTAGCTTGCATATAATCACTATCGTCGACCTTAGTAACCTCCCTTGAAGCGAGCTCCTTCATGTTCGACTCGTACTTCACTTGCTTCTGTCGGCATGTAGTCGCGGGAACAAGGGGGCGGGGGTTAGTTGAACGACCACATGGTTGCGATACTCTAGCATATGTCCATCCAACTTGCCAGAAGACTTCGTGTTTGTACAGAAGATATCGATTCCCCATAGGTCTACACTCAAGAAAACTTCTGCGTAGAGCAAGAGGGGGAAAAGAAATTCTCCTGCTTACAACGTCAATTCGGCAAGATGATTAGGGTCGTAGAGAACTAGCACTAGCACTATTTTTCATATTTCACATCAACTTCACACTCGATTCCTCTTTAGAGAACGAACCGTAACGATGCGAGACATGATGATCACAAGTCAGTGAGCTTGCAGATTCAGATTTACCTATTCATCAGAATCAGAAACGATTTGACAAATAGATCTTCAAGAAGTTCACACGCTACTTTATGTCTATCACAACTAGCTAGATGAAGCAGATCCCACGAATTGTTGTATTATGTCAAAAAGTCAACAATTGATAATTAGTACCTTGTCACACTTTCTTCCAACATCTTCATTCAATTTCATCATGTTTTTAGATACTCATAGTCATACTTCATACCATTGATTTTCATTAGAATCCTCAAAATAAAACTGATACTCTTGTTACAGTACAGTTACAACTAGATGAGTCAAGATTTACTTTTTCGGAGCAGCCTCCTTGTCTTTCTTTTTGCCGTCTTCCTTGATCACCGTCAGGCCACCGCCTTCCAGCATCCAGGTTTCATTGCACACCTTTGACGCGAAGTCAGCGCAGTGACTAATGCAGATAACGCCACCCTTGAATCGCTGGAGAGCTGTTGTTGTTTTGTTCGGTTTGTTTGGAGGTGGTGTGGTTGATTAGTCAAGTTCAATGCGTGATGAGACGAAGGTCGTTATTCTTGTTGAAGTTATCCATTAAATCGTGACTGACGAGTACTGCAACAGTCTCAACATGATTACCATTCACTAACACTAACACTACAGTTCTTTCTAAGAAACAAATGAATACTTCACATACAACTACATCAAGATCAAACAAACACGGAAGTATGATGTACCAGTCGTCAAAGCGTCCAGTGTCTCCATATCAATGTAGTTTGTCGGTTCGTCCAACGCCACTAAGTGCGGTTTGATCCAGAAGGCTGCCGCAAGACTGACTTTCGACTTCTGACCTGCGGAGAACATACCGATATTTCTGTTCAACGCCAATTCCTCAGTGATTCCGAAGAGTTCCAAATGCTTGACGATTTCCCTCTGCGTCAAAGGTCGCTGATCGAGGCCAGCCTCGATGGCAGAAGCTTTGTCGTCGTAAGCGAGCGCGTAAGATTCGCAACCGAGTTTTTTGAGGTCTTCCATAGTGAGCCAAGTGTTTTGCCGAGAGTCAGGAAGGTTTTCCCATCTGGCCTCGTAAACGACTTCCTTACCCTTGATCTGACGACTGCAGAGCTCTTTCAGCTTGTTGCCTGAAGAAAGTGAAAGTGAAGATTTTGATGATAATTTTTACTTTTGTGATTGGGTGAAGATCATGTTGTTATTCCACGTGCTGTAGCTGACAATCATCTACGAAATACGAATACAACTTGCAATACGAAAACGAATAAAAGCAAAGTGTTGTAATAAAGTCGATTTATTTCTTCTCAAAAAACATTACCATATTTTCCGTGTGCCTTTGCTCTTCTCTCGCGATCTTCAGCTTCTTCAGGCGACTTGGGGTTCAATAACCGCTCTTGCACAGCGCCATCGTACCCGTTCTGGTATCGCTTCTGAATGTATATGTATGGAGTCGCTCCCATAAACTCGCTCATATGGTGCATATGTTGCTGCGCCATGTAGGCCAATCGGCAGTTGCGGTGTCTGGTGTTTTTCAAAGGATTTCATTCATTCATTTACCTGGTCTTGAGGTATGGCAAAAAGATCCTGATCATGACGATCATTCTGATAAACTAAGAACAAGTAACTTCTTAAATTAAATTTATAAAGAATAATCATCTGAGGATCATTACTCAAGGTCAACGTCAAGTACATCAACAAGTAAAAGCATGAAATAGTACTAGATTAGGCTCTACTTCTTGTTAATCCTTGTGGTGGAGCCGACCTAACTAGAAAAAAGACAGACCAGAGGAAGATATAAAAGAGAAAAGTATATTCTACCTGTTAACGGTTCCCTTTTGTGTGCATGCTGATGCGTTTGGATGGACTTCACCACAGACGAGGTTCATGAACGTCGTCTTCCCTGCTCCGTTGACACCCTTGATGTGGATGCGACTGTTCATCGTAATCTTCGCTGAGACTCCCTTGATCACGTCACCCTTTTCCTGGTTGTAAGCGTACGTCAGGTCCTTGATCTCCAGGACTGGCTTCGCCATTGACGTGAGGCCTTTCACCTTTCCGGCAATAGGGAAGACGATTCTGGCTTTTCTGTCCGGCTGAGCAGCGCCGCCTGCGCCTTCCTCGCCGTCCAAGTCGTCATCCAAACCAGCGAGGTTCGGCTGACTGCCATTGGTGTCGGAAGGCAAAGAAGAAAAAGCTCGAGTGCTATTCCCCCTCTGCAGACTGTTAGCAGGACTGGTGTCCTCGTCACCAGCTAGTTCAGCGATGCTGTTGGCGGACACCGCTGGAGTCAAAGTCGCTGGCGTCGCTGCTTCGTCCTTGATTCCCGGTCCGCTGCCGCGCTCCACACCCTCTTCACTGACTGCAACCTGACCCGCCAACAATGCTTCCGCATCTGCCGCGTTGATGCCCAACTTGGCAGTGAATGCGTCGAAGTTGCCCTCGTAATACACCAGTTTGCCCGAGTTGTAATTGATGACGTTAGTGCAGACTCGGTTCAAAAAGAACGGGTCGTGGGAAATCACCATAATCGCGGACTGCTCTAGCGAAACCAAGTAATCGCACAACCAGTTAACCGCTTTAAAGTCCAAGTGATTCGTCGGTTCGTCCAACAACAGGACATCGGCTTTCTTCATCATGGCACCAGCGATCAACAGACGCATTCTCCATCCACCAGATAACTCGCCAATCGTGACCGCCCACAGGTCTCGTGGGAACATAACCTTATCCAGAGTCGCATCCAACTCTTCTTCGCTTCTCTCCGGGTTCTCCTGGCGCATGAAGAGCTTGCACTTGGTGGAAAGCTGGTTATCGAGGACTTCCGGCTTCACGTGGATGCAGGTCATGGTCTTGGGGATCTGCGGGACGCCGCCGGTAGCGATCAAGTTCATCAGAGTCGTCTTTCCGGTACCGTTACGCCCGACCACACCGTAGCGCTTGCCCTTGCGCAATTCGAAAGTGGTATCCTTCAACAACATGTGGCCACCACCGTACATCAACATCAAGTTCTCCACGTGGCACAAAACTTCCTCCGGATTCTCCAGAGTTTTCAGCTCCTTCGGATGGTAGTGCTTGAACACCTTCTCCTTCAAGGTCGAATCGAGTGCCGAAGCAGACTCCGCACCAAAATTGGCCAAAAGACCGAAGATGCCGGTGGATTCGAGCTTGGACACGGTCTGCGCGGCGGTCAAACTCTCCTGGACCGTGCAGGCGAGGATGGCCTTTTGCAGAGCGGAGAGAGAGGGCATGGCTTTTGCGGTAAGCTCAGCTAGTTCCTTCCATTCGGTCTCCTCCTCTTCGTCATCGTCGCCTTTCTTAGGACTGTTTTCGCTGTGGTGATGATGAGCGCCAACGACTTTCAAAACGACCTTACCGTTGCTGTCTTCACCCACTCTGGCGAGCATGCCCTTGAGCTCTTCCGGGACGGACCAGTCGAGGCATTTCAGCACATTGGACTTCTCGAGCTCCTCGCCAGCTAAATTGTCGTACTTGTCCGCTGTGAAGTCGAACTCCTTCGCGTTCTCCCTGATATCGTTGATACACCTTTCGGCAGCCTTCGTCTTCCTCTCACACATCTTACCCTCTTCCGCGGTCAAAATCGTCTTCAACGTCGCGAGCAAGTACGGCAAAGTCTCACGCTTGGTCTTCGGCACGGACTGAAGCTGTTCGGTCAGCACTTTGTTGGATTGACGTCGGACCTCTGGGTCGTCGTCAATGCGGCAAATCTGCAACAGGCAGATGAACGCCAAGCGCGTTCGCAGCGAGCAGCAGTCCATGGTCAGCATGTCCGTGCCATATTTGCGGTATTCGGACACTTTCTCCACCAAAGCACGGAACAAAGCGATACTCATGGCCTTGGGACTCAGGGAGTTCAATCGCGCAACGTGTGCAAACGACAAAACGGAATCCGCAATGGGGAGGACAAATTAGAGGTAGGTTTTTGGTGCTCGCTTACCCCGCTTGTTATGCCTTTCTCCCTTAGGAGAGGCATAAAAAGCGGTAAGAAAAGCACCTTTAACCTACCCTTAAACAAAGCTGTCGGCATTGGCACCACCGAATTCGCGGATGATGGCGGTACCCGCAGCCATAGCGTGGTCGTGGACCAACTGGCTGTCATCCTGCAAGCCCTGGAGAGCCCACTTCAGGCCAAACTGCTTCGCGTAAGGCTCGAAGGCGTCGACCTTAGGTTATTTGAGAATAGGATCATATTGTTTGTTCATCGTCGTTCTTGCGCACCATTGTTGATTTTTCAGGAGATTTGTTTCTTATTCCAGACAGGCGGATTGCAAAACCTCCAAGGAAGTAGTTCTCTTGTTTTTATCGAATTGGAGTTTCCACTTAAACAAATGCAAATTATTCTTGGTCTAAAATAATTATTCTTGGTCTAAAATAGTACCTTGCACAAAAACTCCAACAAAGAAAATGCTCCCGCTCGCTGCTCAGGATAGGCACCACTGAGAGCCCGCGGTTGGGCGACCTCTTCCAAGACACGTGGTAAAAGAGTCTTGTCCAAGCTCGTGCTCAACATTTCGGACATAGAGTGTGCGGCACCCGTTCGCTCATTCTCGCTGTTGTGGCTGTCACCACGCTTAGACTGCAAATTATCCAAAGCCCATGGGAGCAAGTCGGTTTCGAGCAAAGTCGGCAAATTCTTTCCGAGCGAACCGAGAGACTTGGCGGCTTCTCGCTGGATCTCGAAAGTAGGGTCCAAGGCGAGCTCCTGTGGTTGGTGTGTGTGTGTGTCGTGTGATCATGTACTACTAGTACATGTAGTTGGATGTAGTTGGAGGAATTTCAGTCAATGCCAAAGTAATACAACTTCTATGCTCATGAACATGAAGAACAACAAGAAGTTGAGTCAGTTAGTAGTTAAATCTTTTTACCTTCAAAATCGGCAAGAGCGATCCCAAGTAGGACTCCAAGATTTCCGGGTTTTCGATCAACACCACTGCTGCTCCAACAATCATAACACCATTCTTCTTGGCGTCGAACGTCTTCTCCTTCATCGCACGTTCCACGATCGGAAAGAGCAAGGCAAACGATGCTGCGTCGACGTAGCTCAAGAACGTAGTGTTCGCAATCAGGTACAGAGTCTCGGTTGCCAGCTTCATGTTTCCGAAGTTCTTCAGACAGTTGACGATTTTGTCGGAGACGTTCTTGATCTCCGTACACTTCACGAGCTGGCCAACTTGTTCGAGCAGCTTGGCGGAAGTGTTTTTGATCTCCGCGCGAACTTCCTTGGAGCAAGCGACTAAGGTTCCGACCAAAGCGGCCATCTCGTGAAGGAGCTGCTTCGGGCAGTGCTCAGCGAGAGCGGTCAGGAGACCTGTAGTACTTCTAGCTGATCACTTTATATTGTTGAGGGTGGAAGAAGTCGACGACGTTGGTCTGCAAAAATAACATCAAATTACAACAAAGGGAGGTGGTGGGAATACGACTAAAATCAAATAACATCAAATTACCACTCTCCATGATTTCCAAAGCTGCGACCTTGACCTTCCATTTGTTTTGCGGCGGCTTTTCGATAGCGTGCAAAATTTCCGGAAAAAATGCTGCACTCAGAGTAAAATCTCCCTTTTGGATTGCTGCCTTGATGATGACTACGCACTGTTTTGCCAACTTCGCATCCGCGGTCAAGACCAGCAACTCCTGGAGGCATTGCAATACCAAGAGAGCGAAGCAAGAGCAGGACTTATCGGCGTCTTTTGGAGTGACGGCAGTTAAGAATGCGACAGCGTTGGTTTGGGCCTTCTTGTCGGCGACTGCTTTTTTCAGGGATTCACCAGCGACTTGAACGTTGTCAACGGTAGACAAGTCAAATGCCGTTCCGCCCGCAACGGCGGTGTTAAAAGCTTCGATACTGAAGGACGACATCTTGATGTTCTTGTCGTGGATATTAGATTATTGAAAATGCAAAAGATATAATTAAATAAGTCCTATACTTGCTTCGTAGTAGAAAGTTGTGCGTTCTCAATGCAGGAGCAAATATTGTTGTTGTTATCGTCTAGTATATTGTTCGCGAATTATCAGAATGATCATGCAACGAAGTAAATGTTCGTAAAAAAAATAGTAAGTTCTTTAGATGGTGCTAGATATTGAAATCATAAAACAACTATAACGACTACAATTGCCTCCCCAGAAACAACCTGTGTTTGAGTTTGAAATGAAGATCTAGATGAGGTGGAAAAAACCTCCAGATGAGTCCCTTGTAGGAAAATAGGATCTTCTTGAACGTGGATCAACGACGTGGAGGAACTTGTTGTATGGGTAAACTTTAGATTGATCAAAATTTCAAGTGAACGACCGTTGTCGTAGCGTGCAGAATGCAATTATATGAGCGTCCTTTTAGAAGTGGTTCTTTTTAATACTTCGAATTCTAGAGGGAGACGGTATGAATTCAGATAAGGTGGCGATGTCTAATGGGTATTTTGCTTGCAAGACCTGTAAATGACAAAAATGAGGAAAGTAGATATTGGAGAAATATTTTTTGAACCAGGACCACTCTCGTGAAGCTGCTCAAGCGTCTCTCTCTTTGCAATGTTTGGAACAGAACCCACACCAGAATCGCTCACAACAGAGTTTGAGTATCTACCTTACTTTCAACTTTTCAACTGGTTCTAAATCTGGCAAGATGGACGTAGATGGTTAGTACAACCAAAGTAAGTTACCTACTAAAAAAAGCAAAAAAAATCAACAATATGAATATCCTTGATTCTTCTTCACACACAGGAGGAGGACAAGCACATCGAGCTTAGTTGTAGCATACCAAGTACCAACTAGAACTTCCTCGTCGAACTGGATCTCGTTCAGATTCGTTAAACAATGATCACGATCGTATTGACTAATAGTGGAAAATGGAAAAACTACAGCTTGAGATTAGTTATCGTCGACACACGACCAAGGATATTTTTCCTCGCAGTTACAGGTAACTAGCTCAAAACAGTAAGTGTTTCGTAGTTTTTAGGATAGGAGAAGCGGGAGCATACCAGTTGTTTTTAGAGCTGCTGTGTAATCACCACCTTCACAAACACGAGCGGCAAACGGGAAGTCTTCATCTGCACAAGAACAACCTACAGTTTTCATTTGTTGGAATGTTCGAACGTTTTTTAGATTTTCTTCTTGGATTGATTTTTTTCAAGATCTTTGGCACGTATGATCATTTTCATGAAAATGTGTTCGTTTGATTGAAGATAGAGGATCCCGTTTGTGATGATTGATCTTCGCCTATTAATTTTCGATTCCTACTTGATCGATCGAGTGTTTTTCATCACTGTTCATCTCTCTCCTACGTCGATAGAATCTTCAAATTTGCGTGTGATCTATCATGATTTGCTTTTGGGGGTAAGTTTCTCCGAATCCAATACTATAATCGACAAAAACGAAGAAACGAAAATCAGACTTTCTCCAGCATTCCGATATCTATAGTCAGGATCAGAATCAATCTCGCTGCCGATATCGAAGTATCTCGTAAGCCGAAAGCAGAGGATGAAGTGAGAGAAGAAATGTTACAGGACAATGATGATCAAAGTAAGAACGAGAGGGATCAAACAGCGAACGCAAAAAGACCATTCACATAGTACGTTGTAGCGTTGCTGAAAAAACGATGCAACAAAGTACTTACAATTATTTGCTTTAACAAATAGTAATAGGCGGACAGGAGAAAGGGTTCCTTTTTCTGTTCAGGGGCAGTGAAAGGAAAATCTTCACAAGTAGAATCTTTCTACCAAAATCAACAATGAAGGATGTGGTCATGAAATGAGTTCTTGCGTATGATGATCTGATGTACAAGAAGTATTTATGAGGACGAGAGGCAGAAACATTCTTGTTGTTGTTAGCGTGGCTTAATCGCTCTCCTCTCCAAAATCTTCTTCCATATTGTCACGCATTTCCGCTAAATGCCTTCCTATTGCTTTCGCCTCCGCCGTTCCTTCTTGCACAACATGCTGAGGACCGTCATCGCTACTTATCTTCATGTCGACATCTCCGGTTGCACCAGATGATTCGTCTCCACCACCAAGTTTGTTGGGTGAACTAGATCCCCCACCTAAGTTGTCAGTTGTTGTATTTTCTTGTCGATCATGATCAGTGGGTCGACCATTATCCTCGGCTGGTCTTGAAGAAGTGGCTCCACCTGGTGCACCAGGAGCACCTGCTCCACTACTAGACGACGAGCTAGATGCCTGTGCTTGGTTGGGGTTGATGACCGCACCTGTGAGAGGCAGTCCGGAAGCAGCTCTTGCTTGGTTTTCCAGCAAGTTTTTACGAATAAGAACAACGATCGCGGCTTCGGTTTTTGATTCGAGCCTCTGTTGTTTCCTTTGGAAATCACGCTTGATGTCCCAGTTCTTCTTCGACGCGGTTGGTGCCATCCACTGTTTTTTATCCAATGCCTCTACATTCTCAGCGAGAATTGCGTCGACCTAGTATAAATTAAAAATTTGTCATCCGTAGAGAAGTAGTATAGTGTACGAGAAAGAAGTTGTATAGGACTTTGATTTATACTTTACTAGAACTGCTTCTTGTCATCTTACGATCCATCACATATCGTTATATACAAGGGGGCTACAACAAGCACCAGCAACAAGCATTGAGACAACATTCCCAGAGTACTAGCAGGTACCAGACAAAACTAGGAAATCAAATTCTCGGTTACCTGCAGTTCGATCTCTGATGTGGTCAATCGTTGTTGCACGCCAGCTTGGAGTGCTGGTGTTTTCGGATAGTAGTTTCGGAATCGCACCTTAGGAGGTTGTGCTTGAAACGGAGCCTCCGCTTCTTCTGCTTCGACTGCAGCCATTTTTTTGATGTTTCGATCTTATTTAATTGGGTCTTATCAAGCAAATAAGCGTCCAATGTTGATAAAAGTGAAACAAGAAGACAATGATCAAAATGTAGAGGTAGGCGTAAAAAATACTATGAGTTGCTGTAGCTGTTTAGTGTAGCCGGCCGTGGCTCAGACAAGAAACAACGACTGCTCCTTCTCCACCTGTGCTCAGAGGGAATCTCAAATGGTACCACGATTGAGACAGAGATTGATTCATGCTACACGACCTCTACTGAAGAACGTGGCAACTATAGTTGTAACTAGTACTGCTACTGTTGAAGCTAGCGGACTACTCGTACTTTTGCCATGCATCAATGTTTATTCGACATTGGAGTAGAAAAAGTCGAACGAAGCGTGATCATCTTCTTCTTCAGGGTTCATGTTCGTGACAATCACAGTTTTGATTCATCTGGAAGCGGCGTGTAACCAGGAGACCATACAAGAGTATCCGTGTTCAGAGGTCTTGCTCTTCTTCTTGTGTTGAGACACGCTGGAGTATTTGGAACTGGGATCTTTTTTGAGCAAGAAGAACGAAGAAGAATATCATGGCCATGCCGAACTTTGCGTCCGCCAGGAGCAAGAAAGAGTCAGAGATTTATGGAATTATTTGCATTCTTGTTTATTGTCACGACAAGTAGCCGTTGAGTTGTTTGTGGAATGACAGGTGTGACAGGCGGACGAGCAACACGTACTCGGCACCAAACTTGTTCAGCTGTATTAACAACCTAAAATCTCACCTCGAAGGCGACTGCATGTTGCTTTGCCGTGACGAGTGAATCGTGAATATTCTAAAACTATGTTCTTGGTACAGTTCGTGCAGCAGTTCAGGATGATAAATGTTATTTGTTTCACGTCTTGCATCATGACATTCACTATTTGTTTGAATCAAAACGGGCTCGCTCCTCGGTTAGGGCATATTGAGAAAAATGGACATAGTATTTTCATCTTCTATCATGTTCATGTCATGAGGACTTGTGGTTTCATGAGGACTTGGGAACCAACTGCATCTTCTATTTGCCTATTGATGAATTGAATCTATTGATTCTATTTGTCTATTAGACTTGGGACCTGCATTTTCTATTAACACACATCTAATACGGCGACGGTCTACCTCCGCCCTTTCCTGCTGATGAACCTCCTCGTCCCTGAAATCCTCCTTTTCCTCCTCCTGACTTCCCTCCAAAGGACTTTCCACCCTTTCCACCGCCTTTACTTCCACCTCCAGAGTCTTTGCCTTTCCCTTTTTGACCGGTGCCCTTTTGACCGGTGCGTTTTTCCCACAATGCCTTTTTTTGATCGCGCAATGCCTGCTCATCGGCCTGCCAGTCTCCGGCATTTCGGTCGACTAGTGGAGGTAATTCACGAGGCTCCTCCAACGTGATTCCACGCCACATTTCCGATGCTTTTTCGCCCTTTTCTTGACAATACTGCCTCAGAACACTAGCGTGCTCGTTGGCAACGTCGAAGACACAGCTGTAGCCATCCGCACACAAGGTCATTGCCTTGATCCCACCTTGCGTGATCTCCTCTGGCAAGAACTGGCGGAGCAAATAGAAGCCCTTGCCAGTAGTCTCGATCGGTTTCGCTTCAGACTTCAGCATGAAACAAACAGACTCCTCAAAGCAACTGAGCAGAGATCGACCTTGCACGCGTTTCGTGTAGCCAGTCAGTCCTGCCATAGCAGCAGCCAGAGCTCGCGCTGCACCACGTTCCTCGATCAACGCTTCTGCTTGCTCCAAAAACGCATCGATGTTGTCTTCGTGAATGTTATCCAAAAACCTAGCGCTGTCCTTGGCAGCGGATTTCACAATGTCAAAGGGCTGTGCTGGTCCAACACGGGCGAAGGAAGTGTCGTCCAAACCCAATTTGCGCTTCATAATGCGGATCATGTACTCATCGCTGCGACTATAAAACACGATCGAAACGCCCTTGTTCCCAGCGCGACCGGTTCGTCCACTGCGATGCACGTAGGACTCCACGTCCTTAGGGGGTCGTGTGTTGATCACCAAATCCACACAGGGAACGTCGAGACCGCGAGCGGCCACGTCCGTGGCCACCAGGACTTTGATCTTGCCCAGACGGAAGTTCTCCATGACGACTTCTCGTTGATTCTGCTGCACATCGCCATGCAGAACGCCTGCGCCGAGTTGCACTAGTTTCTCGTGTTGCGCTAATTCATCGACTTCTTTCTTGGAATCGCAGAAGATGATCGTCTTTCCAAACAACGCTCCTGCATGCACCTTCACAAAGTCTCCTAGAGTATCAGCCTTGTACATCGGAGGACAAAAGATGCACTTGTGCTGGATGTTCTTGTTGGTTCGCGAAGCAGATTTGTCGCTTCCGTCATTCTTGGTGATGTCGACCCATTCCGGATGACTCATCTTCTTTTTTACGAGATCATTAACCCAAGCGGGGAGTGTTGCAGAGAAGAGGAGTTTTTGAACAACCCTAGTAGAAGTACTTGTTCCAGCACCTGCAGCGCCAGCTGCCTGCGTTTGAATTGCTTCAAGGATGCTATCAACATCTTCTTGAAAGCCCATGGACAACATCTCGTCCGCTTCGTCGAGAATTAAGGTGCTGTGGTTTGTTGTGGTGGAAGGAGTGTCAGAGTGAGTTATAAATTGGGAAAAGGAAAACAAAGCAGGACGGATGCAGGAGCAGGAGCGACACTGTGTGTAAATAAACTCCAGATAATATATCAACATTCATCAACAAAACCCAAAAAACAATACATAGATCATATTAGACATGATCCGCTTATTTGCAAGCCTAAGAAACAGCTCAAAGAAATGCATGCATTTTCGAGAGTAAGCAAGTAAGTAAGTAAGTAAGTAAGTAAGTAAGTAAGTAAGTAAGTAAGTAAGTAAGTAAGTAAGTAAGTAAGTAAGTAAGTAAGTAAATAAGTTAGTACTTGACATTCTTCAACTCGATCGTCTCCCGGTTGATGTGATCCAATAATCGACCCGGTGTTGCCACGATGATGTCTCGACCGTCTCTGAGCAGTTGGCACTGAGGTCCAAAAGGAACGCCACCGTACAGGCATTCAGAGCGAAAGCCATGCGCATTGCCAAGCAGTTCGAAGTCTTTCAGGATTTGCTTCGCCAACTCTCGTGTAGGCGCAAGTGTGATCACCAAAGGCAGACGCTTCCTTTGCAAACCACCAGGACCTCTTGATGAGGAGGAGGAGGAGGAGCTCGCAGTTGCTGACGAGGATCCATGCAAGCCAGCAGTTTTGGCCAATTTTTCCACAACAGGCAGACAAAAAGCCAAGGTCTTTCCGCAACCGGTCTTGGCTTTGCCGACCACGTCTTTGCCACCGAGAACGTGAGGAAAGACACGCGCTTGAATTTCGAACAGAGAATTGATTTTCTTCTCCTCAACGAGGGCTTTTCTGGAAGCGCTAGAGACATCGCTGATATCATCTAGAGGCACAGGAACAAAGTCTCCCCCTGCGGATGCGTCCTCTTTACGATGTTTCCCCAAGTAGTCTGCCATCTTCATTAAGGACGAAGGTTTTGTCGTACTAGAACTACCTCCGCCAGATGAGGTAGAAGATGACGTTCTCTTGACAGAAGCAGTCTTGCTCCTGGAAGATGAAACTTGTTGTTCCTCTTCAACTTCATCATCATCAGACTCTGCACCTCCACCACTAGTGGTCGTAGATGAGGCGCCGGACCTCGCTGGTGCCACTTTTGGGGAGGTTTTAGACTTGCTTTTCGATTTTTTCACCTTCATTTTTTTCTCCTTGCTTGCGGGCTTTGCCGCTGAAGATGTAGAAGTGGTCGTCATTTTTGTTGCTTCAGTTTGAGTTTAATGCTCCTGAATATGGTATCGTATAATCTTTGACTTTGTTTTTATCGCTTTTTTCGTATTCCTTTGAATTAACAGATGATATCGTCCGTAGTCAGTGTTCCAGCCTGCAACTTGAAATTATGACTTATATCTGAGTATGCTTAGTATTTCACAAGACTTGGACTTTTTTGAAGAGATTTTGAACTAAGTATATCACATCCACACTCCAAATCTACTCTATGTGTGTAGTTAAAAACTTTGAACTATATTATATCACATCCAGTGGGATCCCTTCGGATCCTAACAAGCAAAACAGAGGATCCACAAACAGGTCGTATACAGGACGTTTTATTTGATCCTAGCGCGATGAACAATATCAAGCGCAATCTAATCCTGCACCGCGGTTTTGTCATTCTCATCTGATTACAACATCATGATCATCAGACGTGGATCCGGACCACCAGGATCTTCGAGAGATCATCAACCACATACTTCGATCTTCATGGTGCACACTAGTTTTCATCGCCAGAGCAACAGTACAGCAACCAAATACAAATACAACTCGTCTCTGCTCTACTGTCGACCTCCCTCTCAAACGCTAGAACAGCGGACTATCGTCCTTTGGTGCAGATCTCCGTACTATTGCGCCATTTCCATACTTATACATTTCTCGTATCCACCACGGGATTTCAATTTGGAGATGATCGACATCACTCTCGTTATTGTCGTTCTATCTCACATCACAAGTAGGCGATTAATCTTGATGTTCTTAGTCGTAACTACTTGTCGGGAGCAGTATCTACAGTAGATCATTGTTCTCGTCTTCAAGCAACCATTCGAGGCCAACGTTCTTATCCCCTCCGAAGTTGTGTTTTTGTACAACTACTAGATTCTTAGTTTCGCTCGTCGTCTTATGAAAAATATTTTCCTTTAGTACCATCTCACGCAGTTTTTTCTTTTGTCTATCAAAGTCTTCAACCCCAAATGATACAGAATCGATAAAGTATGGATCCATTTTCCTTAAACCTTTCGGCACGACTCTCCAACGCTTTCCTGTATCCAGGTCTTTCAGGAGGAAGAAGAACGACGCAGAAGAGTCGATATCTTCATCGTCTACTTCTCGACAGCCTTGAAGATGTCCTTTTTCATCGCCAAGAACATCATCATGATCGCTTTTCTCTACTAGTCCTTCAACTGCACCTTCACCCTCCTGCCCTTCTTCCTCTTCATAGACTTTCTCAATTGCATGCTCCAGATGGTGTGGCACCGGTTCGCCACCTGCACAGTAAAAAAAGTTTGCTTTCGCGAATTCATGAGCTTTTTCTTCATGCTTTGCCAGCATGTCAGCCACAAAGGCCAGGTCTTTGGCTTTCAACTCTTCGACAACAGCTTCGTTAAGTTTTTCTTGCACCTGTGGCGTTTGGTCTCGTCCTTGTTTCGTCTTGCCATCTTCCGACTTCCCGGTAGATGTTGCAACCGTTGGAGAAAACATTTCCTCCAAGTTCAATTGTGGTAAAGTCAAACCACCGGATACCCGACCCAGCCGATTATTCTCGGTACTACTGGAAAGGCTTTCCCTTTCCCACCTCCTTAGCTGTTCCATAAAAGCAGGATTTGGGCATATGGTGTCCCGACAGCGATGAATATGTCCTAGGACGTCGGCTAGTGGAAGTTTTAACCAAGAAATTAGGTATGATGCCAACGCAGTTGTTGAACGAGATATTCCTGCATGACAATGGATGTAGAGGTTTTCGCTTGGCTGCAGGCAGTGGCAGGGCTGCTCCTTATTTTCAATACAGCCTGTATCATCTTCCGCTGTAGTTTTCACCTCACGGTTGTTTGTTGATATACTTTCAAGCCATTCGAAAAATGGTTTCCAGCATTTGCGATTTGAAAGCAGTTTTGCACCTCCTTCATTTTTATCGAACAAGCCAAGCCTCGCCGCCTGGATAAAGGCAGCTGTGACTGGAAAGGCGGGTAAAAGCTTCGCTTCGGTTGAGTCGTCGACGCATATTTGAAGGACCCGAACAACGTGGGATCTTGGAGAAGGAGACGCTGCTTCAGGACCAGCAGCAGACGGGTTGTCTCGCAAAGCCTCATAGAACTTCCATGTCAAATGATCCACAGACCTCCTCTTTTTCTTCGCAGATGACGCAGTTGTTGTCCGTGTCTCCACCTCGTCCGCGACTACAGCAATAGGCTCCGGTCCCGTATCGCAGACTGAGAGGCAATATCCGATCGCTTTGTCATGGAAGAAGGTTGACGCGTTGTTTGTTCCAGGCAAAACGTCCGAACCGCCCATCCAAACATTCGGAAGAACCTGACTTGGAGAGCCACCCATGATGATGTGCAGCTGTCAAGAATCGGATAGGATAGGACCTTCGTTCCTGGTGGCTCCTTATTTGCTACTTCTTCAATCGGATAGGATAGGATCATGTTCGTTCCTGGTCTCTAATTTTCTCCATCTCCTAGTTCTTTGGAACTCGATTTACATCGAGGTGACGCCTGTAAAAACGGACACACGTTGATCAGGAGGACTACGAGTGATGGTGTGATATCCGTCCTAGAACATTTGAATCGCAGCCCAGGCAGCGACGAACAAGACCAGAGAACGTAGCACAAGCACTAGCAGCAAGTGTTTTTTTGATTTTTCATTCTTGATTCCCAATCCCAAGTGCGATTAATTTCATATTTGTCCGCAAAATTAGTCTTTGGCTCTTGCGTTGTCGTTGTCGACAATCTCCAGTGTCAACATTCTCATATTTCTTAGAACTAAATGCAATGTAAAACAAACGTCTACGTCCAGTTTTTGTATGCAATGTTGTATGTCTACATCCAGTTTTTTTTATCTGAGCACATCTACATTCGTTATCGTAGTTTCTTAATTTTTTCTGTGCAAATAAGTGGTGCAATATTGAAGATGCTACAACTGATGTGGTTCCAAAGAGAGATTATACTACATGTAAATACTTACTCTACTTCGGCGATGCATGATGATATATTTGTTACATGATTTTTTGCTGGATTTTTGCTACTACTTAGTAGTAGTAGTTCCGCATTCGCTACTAGGTGCGTCTGCTCCCTCGCCGCGTCGCAAACTTCATGGTGTCTCTTCCTTGTGCACGCACCGCCTCTTCGCTCCACGACACGGACTACATAGTAGATACTGGTAGTAGTTCCATCTACTTCAATAGATGAAACAACAACAGTTTACGACATCTTACTACTTTTGAGATTCTACAACAACATACTTAGTTGAACTAAGTAAGCATCAAAAGAAAATTTCAATCCTAAAAGTTGCACATCGCGATCATAATTAAATACATTAACCAACATATTCATTCATGTCGATAAGTTATCGCATTCGCAATTGCAGTACTTCATTTCTTAAGTGTAATTGTGATCGCTTCATTATCAAGAGTCTGTGAATATCCATATCCGAATGTAATACAAATCATGTTGTGATATTATTTGCATACAAATCATCTTGCTGTTCATGTTTGCTACGCAATGTAAGGTTAGATATTTTCTACTAGACTAAGAATGCTATTTCTAGTAGTTCGTTGTTATAAGCGTATTATCTTAGAAATAATTCTTATGGTGGTATTTTGAAGATGTCCTCTATTATTTGGTAATCTATTTGTTCGAGAAATAACTGGTACGTTGAAAAAGTCAAGATGTTTAGTTGTACTAAGCTTAGTCGTGCGATGATGTCTAGGTAGTTGTTGAACGAAATTTTATCGAACTCCGTGGCATCCTTGTTCGTCCAGAGGCCTGTCCCTCTAAACCTTCCAAAAAAACCCTTAATCGAACATTTCGCCTGCGTGCAAGCGTATGCTCAAAAAAAGGCTCTAAATAACATCTTCTCACCTCCTGTTTGCATAAATACTAAGTATGCCCCAAAAAAAAGGCTTCAAACCTCTTAATCGAACATTTCGCCTGTGTGCATATCGCAGATGACGAGGTTGTTGAGGAAGTGCAGGTAGTCGATCGTTTCGTCTGCGGACAGGACACAGTGATCCGCGAACATCTCGATCTGGTCTTCAGTAAGGGGCGACGCCTTCATGTTGAGTGTGATGTTGAGGCACTTGATGGCTTTGACGAAGTGCACTTTCGGGATCAAGCGTGTATTGCCCTTGTCGAAGAACATAAAAGCTTTGTGCAGGGCTTGCTTGTTGTTGTACAGGACCCCACAAATCTGTTCCATCAGTGCTACTCGGATTTCCTCAGCGGGATGCTTCAGATGCTTCAGCGCAGCTTTTCCGCTATTCACCGCGGAAGAAAGGGCCTTGCTCTGTTGTAGATATTTTGTCGTTGTTGATGTTGTTGGAGAGGGATGTCATGTACATGTTTCCTTGATCATGTAAATGAATCTCTAGTAGCTTGAACGAAGAGTTTCAACATCTCTGTGACGAGGACGAGGAGAGCATGATCCCTGTCTAACTGTGAAGTGGGATGCGCATTTTGAGCGGCAAAACAGCACCCTCCAGACACCGTAATCACAATTCATTCTCACGACTACGAGCAAGACAATACAATACATCTCGTGGTCGCACAAAGTTCAGTGCTGACTGCCACATACACAAAAGAAAAAAGCTATAATAATACGTCTTCTGAGTCTATCAATCCGAGCACATCGCCGCTTCTATCCGCTGGCTGAAAGCAGTGGAGGAATTCGAGGTAGCTAATCTTCGCAGTTCTGGCTACATCTACCACCTTGAAGATGTCTTCGAGCAAGGATGCTGGAAGTTCCCCATTGCCGCCGCCCGAGGCGTTGTACTTGTCGCTCTTCTTGATGAAGAATTCCAACAAGTAAGACGAGTACGGCTTCAGCAATTGCTCTACTACGGCTGTGAATTCCGACTTCGACAACATGCCATCGCTATCCTTGTCCCCATCCTTGAAGATCGTAAACGTTTTCTCACTGGCTTCATGAGCAGAGTCGGCGTCAGCGAAGATCGCGCGGCCGATCAGGCGGAAGCAAGTTGCGACAGTCGTGGTGCCAAACTTCAAGTTCATCAACGTTTGTTCGCCGTCTTGTCCTTCTTTCAAGCCAGACTCGGCTTTGTGTCGCAGTCGCTGGACGTTGTACCCCGTGTAGCACACTTCCAGACGCGACAAGAACTCGGCCAGAGTGACGCCAACACCTGCTGCGCCGGACTTCGCAGCCGACAAGGACAGTGAGCCAGGAGCGATCGAGGAACGACTTCCGCCGTAGCCCGTCAACGTTCGCACCAAACCGGCGGCTTGGTCGCTTGTCAGCAGTTGATGCTTCTTGTTCGCTGAGGAACCAGAGGTCAAAGACGACAACACTTTCTGCAAAGTTGTGGGATCGATCTTTTCTTCTTCGCTTGCCACTCCAAATTTCGCGATCAGCTGTTGCCAAGGCACGTTTTCCAACAGCAACTGTTCGAACAATCGGGCCAAGATGGTCTCCATCCAGTTCGTGTGGCGCATCACATTCCCATTCGGGTCCGCGGTCTTTCTAGGAAACAAAGCCGTCTGCGTGGAAACTGACTTTCGCACATCCTGCAAATTAGCCTCTGTCTTCACCTCATCCCGGAGCACAACGCGAAAGCGGTGCAGAGTCAAAGGGTAGTCGATCAGCTTGGTGTGCGGGTCTTCGACGTTCAAAATCTCCTTCACCTGCTGCCAAGGAAGGCCATTAACCACGGACGCGCAGCTGCCAACCTGTGCCGCGATACCCTCTTTCCAAGCATCTATGGAGATCAAGCCTGGTGGCGCGTTCCCAGGTCGGCTATTGTAGTCGCCCTGTGAGTCAGTGGTTAAGTCGTAATCGAGAGATGCCCACGTTTTGAGATGATAGATAGCGAATAGTCAAAAGACATTTCGGAAATGCAAGTTTCTCACATGTGAAGAATATCGTAGAGACAGAACCCAATGAGTGTTGACCACGACAGTGAAGACTCTATCAAGTAAGTAAACATCAAAATAAAAATTACATCCTTCTCATGCTGCAGCCAAAATTTCCATAGTTCTTGCTTGTGGTCTACGAGGATGCGTGCGATGCGCGTCTTCACTTCGAATATGAGCTTGTCCATGCGCACTGCTAGAGATGAACGTGCATTCTTGATCGCCGCATACTCCATTTCCGTGGCTCCCTTTTTCCTAGCGTTTAGCTGCTCCAATGACAAAACATCGTTCGTCGTGATGTCCGCTGTGGCCAGCATCTGGAAGGTAGGCGAGAAGTGTCGCACGATCTCAATAGTCGGCAAGGACGCAGCTTTGGTGTCACCCTTTCCTGGTGAAAAGATCAAAACTGCGCCAGTGTTGCCGTACCAGCCGCAGTAGTTCGAAGCGGAGAAGACGGTGAGAAGACGTCCATCGTGGTGGAAGAAGACGCCATCCTTGTTGCTAGGAGGCTGGTGCGAGCGGACGACCAGGTGGAATCCGTTTTGGCGCAGGAATTTCATCGTCACATCAGGGCCAAACTGGATGAGACTGGGGCCTCGGTTCGACGGCACAATACCTTTGCCCTCCATAGGATCCGCCCACATGCAGAGCTTAGAGGAGGTTGCTGCTGAAATACTTCAGAACAAGATGTTGAATGATCCTAATTCACCTTCTTTTCTTCCTTCTACCAGGAGGAGGAAAGTTGGACGAACGGGCCTAGTTCATCAAACACTAAGGGAGAAGATGAACACAATAGAAACAAGTCCTAGTAGTGGTTACCTCCGTTTATTTTTTATGCTTGTGCTTGTTGCTTCATTTTCAACATATTCTAGATGTTCTTGAAAAAATGTGCTTGTCGCTTCATTTTCATATTATTCTAGATGTTCTTGAAAAAAGTACTTAATCAATCACATCAATCTCGGAGACGACGTCTGTCTTCAGCCATAATATCGATGAAGACTGTATCCGCTGTGTTGTCTGGGCTTTCCGGGATCGAACTGGTATGGTGGTCAACTCCCGCCAACACCTTCAACATGCCGTCCGTTACACGCGAGAGACCACCGTGGACCACGAAGACGCGTTTTTCCAGCACCGTTGCCAATGGCAGGTGCGAATAAACTTTCAGGTAGCTTTCGTAAATCATACTGCCAATGTTGCCACCGTATTTCTGGATGTTCTCCTCATAGAAGCCGCCACAATGCGGATCTAAATTAATGGTTTCGTCCTCGTGGTTGCCGCGGTTCATATCGACAGAGGACGGGTACAAAACCATGAAACCAAACAACAATGCGAAAATCTCGGTGGCGTAAAACCTCGTAGCGATGATGGTAAAGGTGGTGGTGGTGGTGGTGGTGGTGGTGGTGGTGGTGGGCGCATAGACGAAATGAGGGTGGGCGAGAATGAGGAAAAAAAAGTTCAAGTTTTCTTATGTAGAGGGGTTATCGTATTTATCTATTAAAAAGGCTAGTTTTTCATTGTCCTCGTATGGAGGTGGAGGTGGTTCATATGTCAAATATCTTTAGCAAAAGCAAATACAATTGGTCTTCGTAACATCTGTTAGAGTAGAGAAGTCGCCCAAGTAGTCTTACTACCCTCTATCCGCGATGTCACCGTTGAATAAGTATGCGTTGCTGGGACTCGGCAATCCGTTCTTGTAGAAGATCCAGAGCACATCCTCCAATTGACCATGTGTATCTCCAACTACAATCGTGCGTCCCGCTGTGCCCATAGCTTTGGAATTAAGACCCGGCATCTCCTTCTTCGACACCTCGGTTGGATTCTCTCCCCTTTTCGTGGCCTCTTCCTCGGCTCTCTGTTGCATGCTCTTTTTCGGGATAGTGGCTTTGTTGACTGAGTGCGGATATTTCTTGGCCATCACGACTTCTGTATCGTACAGGAGGCGCATGATCAATAGAGGATGCAACGGCTGTGCAGCGTTGCTCTTGAAGTGCTCGACCTGGAGGTTGAGAAAGAAAGTGGGATACGGGAAGATCAGGAACTCAGTACGTGCTCGGATGAGACTACTTCATGCAACAAGAATGCGACTCTTCTTAATCTTAATAGCCCTTTGATAGAAAAAAGATTTTCAAGATAAACTCTATAAAAACAAAGTCACTCATCTTTCACTGCAAGAAAGTGGAACTAGGGCACGGTCAAGGACAGCCTAGTTGTATAGGTATACATAGGTTTAGCTCAAGAAAAAAAACAAAACATAAAAACATTACCATCGACATCATAGTTCCGATTGACCATTTCTCTGATTTCTTTTGCGGAAAGGATATCTTGGGGTAATCCGGCAAGTTTTGTTCCCACTCCTCGCACCACTCAGCAGGCAATAGTGACCGTGAAAAATTATCTCCACCTTCTCCACCCATATCGAGTTTACTGTTTTTGGAGGTGAGGAGGTCGACAGAGAGAGTGAGGTGAGGAGGTGAGAAGTGATCAAAAGATGCAAATTGGGCCTCTCTGAAAGAGATGTTGACGAGATTGAGAACAAAATTTGATGAAGGATGGATGGAGTTATTTGATCGGTTTGTAGCTTGCAGCTGTTGTAGGGCGAAGGTGAGAAAGAAAGTGTATAAAAAAACGCAAAAATAAGTACCTCAAGCTAACCCTTGCTGTTTTGATGTCTACGTGGACGTCATTGCCGTTTAGTGCCAGAGCTTGTAGCATCTTCTGACTCAAGGCACCCTGCGAAGTCGCCTTCTGCTCCTCTAGACTCTCCAGGGAGCCGAGAGATGCCTCCATCTTCGAGACATTCTCTTCGGTGTCCTGTGTGTTGTAGAGTTTCAGTTGTTGTTTCCTGATTTAGGAGGTATGGGTGGTACAAGTGCACGTGAAGAAGATGATACTCGTGAAGAAGTGCACGTGAAGAAGATGATACTCGTCCATATGAATGATCTAGTGGTCGTCGGCTTGCCGGATGTCGGAATACTGGACTTAATTCTAAAGAACACGAATTTGCTCTGTCGACATCGAGAAGATTTCTAATTATAGATGTGGTGGAGCCGATCTAACTAGAAAAAAGAAAGACCAGAGGAAGATAGAAAAGAGAAAAGGGCAATTATCGTCAAGCGTCCTCCCATAATCTGCTAAAACTAATTATAAGCGTCCTCCTATCTGCAGCTAAAACTAGAAGATTTCTGATAGAGAACATCTTCATGTATCATTCAAGGAGATTCTTAATATTATAGTACCGCGATTGCTGACTTGCTTTTTTGATTCCTCTCTGCCTGGAGTTGCTGCAGCTTTGTATTCCCTGCGAAGAGGGTTGGACCCGCACCAAGCTCGTTGTTCATCTTTCCAGATGTATTGTTAGAAGTAGAACTCGTTAACTCTAGACCTCGCTAATTCATGTCGAGGACGCCGTCAACAAGTAGCATCTCGTGTTGTTCTTCCCTCTAGAAGTAAGGAAGAACAAGGGTAGGGGATATTGTATGGCTCTGGTATTTGGTAACCTGACTTTGATCATAAGGGTTCTCTTCTTGTTTTCCCTTATGATCAAGTTCAGGTTACCAAATACCGGAACCATTCAGATATACGATGATTACAACATAATTATGTCGCGTAAACAAGTTGTATATCCTTATCCCTTTGTTCGCTAGAATTTCTACTTGATGGACGACAGTGAGATGAATCATCTTGATTTTCTTGATGAAGAAGAAGCAACATAACTTGATTGTTAGCATTCGCAGCCACGGAAGTCTTCTGTTTTGACGACATTATTTTCGCCAGACCGGTCGTCGGAGGAAAGGTCCTCGCACACGAGTACGACAAAGAAGAAAAAGAAAAATTGGAGTGATACTCTTATTCAACAAACTGAAGATACAGTATCTATTTCACGTTCAAATCGACTAAATTAATACAACAAGATCATTTCAAATTCATGGTACCGCAATGTAAGGAACATTAAGGGGGGACAGCGCAATAAATGTGAGGTTCTTAACAATTGCAAGATGCATGAAAATTCATCAAGAGGATGATGAACCTGGTGGAAGTTTAGAAAAGTGAACAGGTGTTCGTCGACGCTTGTAGCTTTTGAGCTCCTAAAAGTCAAGTAGTAGAGGATAGAACACTAGCATGGTACAATATATGTTAACACGACTAGAAGATTGCCATCTCATCTCTTGTTGACAGAATGTTACTCGACAGAAATCCACTTGATGACTCTCTCATCAGTGACCTGCATATGGATCTTCTCTCCTGTCGAAAAATTGATCATAGTGCGTCGCACCTAAGCACTTTCAACTCTTACACGCAACAGAAGAGTTGTGCACAGAATCATCTAGTATTTCACTCAGGCAGAAAACATGTCGTTTCTCTTTTCTCTCGATCCGTTTAGATTCTTCTGACACCCGAGAAGAAACAATGACAGAGAGGGATCTCAAGACAGAATCGTTACGAGTTAGTACGCGCTCTTGTGAGCTTGGCCAACTGTTGGCGTTGAACATATTCGAGAGAACAGGGCACGGTAGATGAACCTGAAAACTAGTACTTGCTACCGCGGCGCATATCATGCGAATCTATGGAAGGGAAAATCACAGAGAATCTAAACGAACAGTAAAAAGTGGGGCGGGAAATATACTTTCATGGAGATCCACCGTAGATGCACCAAATATCTACAACATGCGGCAAAGAGCCTTGTTTTCATTCACCTTCCAATTGTTTCAATATCCATTTTGTTCGCAATTCTTCGCTATGCTTGACAATTTTCTTCCACTCTGCGTGCTGACCTTCCACCGAAAGCAGGCCTACAGCGGACACCCCATTCATGTTCTGGCGTAAACGCTTCAGAGCGTAAGCCAGGCTCTTGCGACTCATCGCGAACACGACAGGAACATTGGCTTCCCTACACTTCTCCACTAGCGTTTCTACGACGTCGTCTAAGCCTCTTGAATGCTTTTCCAAGTCGGGTGCGACAATGAGACCCACTAGGGCCTTGTTCGCAGCTGCATTTATTTCGGGATCTGCTTGTTCGTTCTTAGTCAAGAGATCATGATCTTGAACTTGATGTTGACCACTTCTTGTTGCTGCACCACGTGATGTACTAGTACTTGCTGGTATAGTACCTCCACCTGTGGTCGTGCTCCCACCACCACCAGAAGCAGAAGCAGCCTGCAAAAGGGCTTCTTTCCTTTTTATCGCACGTTGGATCTCTTTCAAGCCTAGTATCAGTCGCTTCTGCTTCTGAAATTTCCAGCTGATATCTTTCACCCTTTCCTGGTACATGTTTAACGCAACCAGAATATTCCTCACTAGGCCATCAAGTTCCTCGGAAATCAGTGCATGCACGTAGTGCGGAACTTGCATTTCTCTCCGATGCACTTGTCCCTTAGACTTGCCCTTGTTGATGTAGTCGATGTAATATCCTCCTTTTCCCCTCGGTCCTTTGGAGAAAGTGGCGGAAGTACTACCACCACTTACGCCGTTGCTTTTGCCTTTCGCACCATCCAATGTAGTGGTTGCGATTAAGCCCTTGCTGCTTCCTCCTTTCACTTTCTCAGTACCAGGATCCGCAGAGCCAGATTGTAGTCCTGATGTATCTTCACCACCTTGAGCTTTAGGACCCACCGTATTCGGCACCAAAAGATTAGCGTCCCATGGTAGAGTGTTTAAATCCGCTCTCATTTGCGCCTCGAGGTTCGTTGCATACTTTCGCGTGGTTCCGTTCACGTAAATCTGCTGCTGATCAATTGTAATATGATTTAGCAGTCCTGGAAGCCATTGGGGAGTCCACAAGCCATTGGGGTGCAGCGACGAGGTGCCTCTACTCATCTGCGGTTCGTGGTTATCTGGTTCGTGGCTACTTGCTTCGTGCTGACCTGTACTTGTGGTTGTACCACGTGTTGTTTCTGCCCTAGAAGACGCTGCCCATTCAGCGCAATTTTCGGCAAAGCGGAGCTCTAAGTCTTCCACAGGAGTTCTCCTGTGCCGAGAAGTGTCTGTGTCTGTCGCAGCGAGAAAGGCATCGATTGGAACAAGCTGGTCCTCGGATGAAAAACAAGGAGCATCATCAGGTTCAGGAATGGACGCACGCGCACGAGGACCCGCACTTCGATGATGATCGAGGTAAACCTCCAACCATCCTACTTCTCGGCCTATCGGACAGGCAGCACGCAGGCGTTGTCTTGCCTCTTCTTTTGTCTCCCGTTTTTCCGCATCGATTTGCTTTTTCAAGGTCGAAACTTTCTTCTTGTTTTTCCTCTTCTTCTTACCGCTTACGGTAGTCTCCAAAGTCGTCTTGTAAAGAAGAGCATCAGGATGTACAATGCCTCCTTTCGCAGCAGCCTCAGCTGCACGTTGAGCGGCTAGTGCCTCGCGCTCAAGAAAGCGCTGCACGCGTGCCTCACGAGCGGCTTCCGTCATTCTTCTTTTCTAGTTTGTTCTAGTCTCCTTCAAGTCAGTTTGGGTTCTCCTCAGAATGGCCGACTCACATCTTCTTCCCGACACCCGCTGTAGCGGTCCTGCCTCTCTTCGTCAATTATAAACCTAAAAACGGAGGGATCAAATCACGACGGACTACATAGGAACACCATGCCAAAGTTCTTGTATGTTACAAAGTCCGACAACATTGTAGTACTAATTGTACCATCATGTCGCACTTGTTTCTTCGCAAATATACACCAGAGATGAAATCACGAGGGGTATTACACTTGAAAACATATTCGATTGGTTTATCAATTATCATGTCACGACTACCTGTTGTTCTTGTTCATAGGAAAAGAATTTTTCAGAAAAAGATCAAAGGCGATCCATCATTTTTTTGTAGGAAGTCAGTACACAATTGCCTGTATTGAAAGGTTCGGACATTTTCATGATTTTCTATCTGACTTTACAACAAGCATGAATGAACAACTTATTTCCAATAGAATTCATTGCCGATTACCCGTCGCAGAGTTTTTCTCTATCAAGTCTACAACTACATCGCCCCAAACGAATCACAAGACTCCATTTTTCCTCCCTTTTGTTACTGCGATTGCCCCGTTGTCATCAAATCAAAGAGTGCGACCGAATACAGGATGTCCAGGTATTTGCAATGATCTTCTCCGCGGTTTCTGGGCCGCTCGTTACCTGGCACACAGTTCTCCTGCAACACTCTAAGATGATCTGATATTACTCCCAACAGTTGCTGCCTGGAGGAAGAGCTTGTAGTTTCAGCGACGTCTGGTAAAAATTGTAGTTTTACAACATCACCACCTACTCCACCTTGAAGTTGATGAAACTCCTCTCTCAAAAACATCAGCAGCATCTTCGCAAAGTCGTCTCTGCGTATTCTTCCAGTCCCTGTGCTGTCCCACAAAACGCAGGTTTGCGTAATGCTCCACCGCAAGCGGAACAAGAGCTCAGATAACTCCCACATTTCCAAAGATGGCGTCGTGGTCGTTGCTCTTGCTGTTAGACCACTGCCACTTGTACTACGTCCAGCAAGAATACTAGCTGCGGGCGCTGCTTTTGGACGGCTAGGGCGCTTGGGAAGAGCCGCTGAGGAAGTAGAGAACGGAACTGCACTTGCACTTGCTGCAGTGTTTGATGTGTTAGCCGTACTACTACTATTAGTACTATGATCCGTGCTGGTGGTAGCTTTATTGCTACTTTCCCTTTCGCCTAGGCCTATGCCAATAGCTAGGAATGGCTGTGGTGACTGACTACCTTCACGCGTGCCTGCTGCCCCAGACACGGCGGGTGAGTGAGGCACACTGCTTGTCGGGGTGAGTGTGGGATCTTCAACCCCATCTCCACTTGATGTGCGATAATTCTTGAGCAGACCTCCTTGCGGTGCTGGAAGTGGTAGCCCAGCTTTGCTCTGTGCAGTTACAGCTGGTGGTCCTGCTCCGTTCTGGTCTTTCACATCTGTTGAGGAGTTTTTGTTGGCAATCCCGTCATTTGTTCCCGCACCTCCACCATTTGCAAGAATATTGGCACCAGTATTGGTTCTCGCTTCTCTTCCAGGTGCTCGTGCAACGTCGTTCTCGTCTTTCGCTTTCCCCAGTACGTTCATGCCCCGATGCAAGCGAGAACGAACTTGAAAGCGTTGTAAAAGCTTTCGGAAATCGACGGGTCTGCCTAATTCCAGAGAAAACAAATGCGCAACTGCATCGACCCATTCCAGATTCATAGTGCTAGTGTAGGTAGAACAAGTTGAAGCTGTAGTTCCTGGCTTGGTCATCATCGGATTTACTCCATAGTACGAAGATGGCGAAATATCAGTGCCACCTCTTGTATTTGATGTTGTATTCTTGTTCAACATTAACGCTCTAGCCAAAGGCGGACAAGTCGCTAACACTTTCCGTACTCCCTCTGCCCAATCTTCTACATTGATAAACCTTCCATCCACACTTGCCTCTTTGTAGAATTGTCCCAAAAACGACGCGTTTTCGGCCATTAATCGTGCAAGCCTCGTTTTTACTTCGAACATCAGGCGGTCTAACCGAGCACTGGAGCTCGTAGTTGATGTTGTAGTTGGAGAACCTGCTGTTCCCGAACCTTGTTGTTGCACCTGCTGTTGCATAGCCTTCAGGGCAGTTACCTCTAGCTGCGAAGCGGTCACCTTCCTTCGCTCTATCGTGGCTAGTGTGGTTGCGGTGGAGCCAGCAACGTCGATCTGTTTCATCGTTTCGAACGAAGGCGTGAAGAAAGAAACGACTTGAATACTTGGTGTTGGTTCTGGCGCAGGAGCAACAAGCGCCGCCGCGGCTGATGTAGAAGTTATATCATTCGTTGAAGATGTATCATTCTTTTTCACACCTTTTGCTGCGCCGTTGATGCTACGGCCAACGCTCCAGTTCCCAAGCTGTTGCAGTGTAGTTGTTGATAGAAAACTCGTACTTGTCCTACGACCAGCTGGTACAACTGCACCTTCTGCTCCCTGCTGCTCTACACCTCCACCAGTAGCTCCTGCACTGATTGCCCCGACTTGCGATAAAGCGCGCGGTCTTGGACGCGCGGGTAGTGTCACTGGCATCTGAGGCGACTGTGGTCCAGCAGATACTGGAGAGCCAGGTTCTGGAGCATGATCCCTATCCACCACCAACAGTGCTCCACAATTCCCCAACCACCCTTGGTAGTTGCATGCAGAAAAAAGAGACACCAATGCTCCACCAGCTGAGATAGCCACTCCATCTCGACAAGGGTTATGTGACCGCACGATGGCCATGATCTCCGCATGCTCCTCAAGATACCTCTCCACGAGGGCTTCCTCCTCAAAAGTATAGTTGTGTTGATAGTAGGAGTTACTCGAATCGCTCAACGGTCTTGTTGTACACTTACAACTCTGGTCGTGACCCTGCTTGCTCCATCTAAAATCTAAAGCTAGGCTTGTTGCAAGTGTTTCGTCCTCACGTGGAGTGCAGCCATCCATGTCGAAGTTCACGAGATCCATGTCCACATCATCCAGCATCCTGTTTTTTTTAGTTCCTCTCGTGGTCGCCGACTCCAATCCCAACTGATTCAATTTTTCACGTTGTACGTGTGAGATGCAGCACTTGTTCCGCAAGATCCTCAGGAAGGCTTCTTCGTCTCTTGCGGAGGACAGGCCACCCTGAGTCACTAAGACCCTGCGATCGACTACGGTAGCTATGGGTAAGTAGCTGTAAACGCGCAGGAAAGCCAGGAACAAGCGGGCTCCGAGTTTTGTACCGTATTTGCGAACGAGTTCGTGGTACAGGCCGCAAGCGTAAGCAGCGTAGTTCCCGCGATTCAAATCCACCGACTCTGGATGTAGAAGCATACTAGTGAACAAAATAGCGAACATTTCGGTCGCGTGCTGTGCCTGCTTCTGCTTCTGCAGTTGCTGGTAAGCGAGGTTCTGTTGCAACTGCTGTGCGGAGGCCGCGGTAACTACAGACGCGGCATTTTCGCTCAGCATGCTCAGAGCAAGCGATGTAGGACTCAAACTATTCGATTCATTTTCTAATCCTCCATGCTGAGGGCCACTCTTTGCGCCATAAGCCATAGTGGGTACGAAAGCTGTACTTTTGGTTAAAAAGTTAGCATTTCCAGCAGTTGTACCTGTGGTGCCAAGAGAAGCCGACGAGATGGACGGCGTTGTGGCATAGCTAAAACCGGCTAATTGGCGGCTGTGCACTGGCGCAGGTACTGGTGACGTTGAGATCATCACAGGCAAAGGTCGCGTACCAGGAACAGGCGGACTCACAGCTCCATTGGAGCAAGCATCAACAGCCCCATTGGAGGAAGCATTGCTGTCCGTTGCTGTTCTCGACGAAGCTCCTAGGAGTGACATACCCGCCATTGGCCGCCCGGAACTACGAAGATTTGAAGCTCCTCCTGCGTTCCCCTGCGTCGCTGTACTAGATCCGCCACCAAACAGTAGAGAGCTAAAAGAGGGCAGAAATCCACTCAGTGCTCCTGAACTTGTGTTCTCACCATCGGCTCCTGTAGCTCCAGAGGCTCCAAGAACAGATGGAGGTCCTTGCTGGCTTGATTGATAGGCTGAGCTCGAGGAAGGCATCACTTTCTGACCAGTAGTTGTAGTGGACGTCGAACCTCCTGCAGCTCCTCCTGTCGCCGTTGCACCGTGCTGAGCTACATACGCCGACCGGCTCCCGTTTGCAGCTGTGCTTGTGCCCGTTTGCAAGTCTTGGTTTTGCACGCTGTAGTAACCCGGATAGCCAACTATGTCACCATTGAAGACGTATCCGATGCTTTCGCTGGGCAGACCGTTCTTGTAGAAGATCCACAACAGGTCATGTAATTGACCACGCAGACTCCCAACAACTATCCTTCTTGAAGGGGACGATGAAGTCCCTTCATCTGCTTGAGAAGATCCTCGTCCACTTTGTGCAGTCGCTGTGATAGGTGAGCCACCAGAATTTGTCCCACTTGAGCCGCCTCCCGCTGCGATTTTCGGTGGCAGAACTCTAGTTCCCAAGGAAACTGGGCCAGGGCCTCTGCTTTGCGCAAATTTTCCCTGTTCTAACTCCGAGGCTTCCTTGGAGCTCTGTCGCTGTTGTAAAATTCTCGCATCATCTTCGACATCAGAAGACAACAGATTACCCTCGAACTCTTCGTCACTCGTCCCCACACTGCTGCTGCTCTTTGATCTTTTTCGTCCTACTCCTACGTGATGAATCAACGCTGGCAACTTCTTAGATGAACTTTCACCTCCATTACCTCTACCACAGCTGTTCGAGCGCTTCCTCCTCGTGTACTTTGCTTTCAACACAGGCAACACGTCCGAGAGCAATCGCATGAGCAAGTTTGGATGCAAGGGAGTGTCCGGATTCAATTGGCAGTGACGGATTAGTCTAGCTAAAGTTGCTGTTGTCCAACAGGTTGTAGCAGCTGAAATAGCCGTATCACGCGACGCAGCACCAGCAGGCAAAGCAATCGGTGCATAGCTGTTTGCTTTCTGCAATTGTCGTCGCTCCCAATCTCGTACCCAGCGTTCGGGAAGCTGAAAGGGCGACTCATAGGTAATTCTACCTGGGTCGGGACCATTCGACGCCGACCCTGGAGCTTTTCTAGAAGCACCAGTATTTCCTCCAGATCCACCTGATGAACGAGAAGATGTCATCGAACTTCCCACAGTAGCTCCAGTTGCGATACTAGCAGTTGTTGAAGCAACGGTTCTGGCAGTAGGAATCTTCGTTGCCTTGGAGGAGATACTTTCTTGCCCATCGTGGTCCCCCATCATAGTTACTGCCACTGCTGTATCTTTGCTTGCACCTTCGATCTCACTGGCAAGACTGCTGCTATCACTCTGGCAATGCACTGGCCGCAGCAAGACTCCACTTGCCGTGGTTGTTGTACCAGTTGCAGCCGGGCCACCAACTGCATCATCGTGTTCAAATAACGCAGACCGTTCATCGTGTTCATCAGGAACCTCTTCTTCGTGATCGAGAGCTCTCTTCTCTTTTCGCTGTACCGCAGACTCTCTGCGTTTGATCTTTGACGACTTTGACGACCTTGAATTTGCTGAAGTTGACGCATTAATGCGCGTGTTCATACCAGTCGTGAAGTCTTGACGTTGCAAAACCTCCTCACTAGTCGCTCCGCCCATCACGTGGTCCAAAATTTTGACACTAAGCTGCGCCTGCTTTGACATTCGATGTTCTTCCCACACGTCCAAAGACAAAAGCGCCGACTCCAATTTCGAAATCATATCGTCTCTAGTGCTAGAAGCTCCCTGACTACTGGGACGCTTCGGTCTCGGAACTGACGAAAAAATAGTAGTTGAGGTCCTACTTGTACTTTCTCTTCCTCCGGCACCTCCTACTAACGCAGACGACTCTACTGCAACTAGAGTCGTCGTCCTCGTCGTGGCAATTCCTCGTCCAGGCCCTTGTTGAGTAGTTGTTGCTGCAGAAATACTCGAGGACGTCGGATTCAGGTTCATGCTGTAGCTGTTGGTTTTGAGGACATTGGAGAGTCCACTGCTGTGCACTATTCTTGTCCCTGTGGCGGGAGATAAATTTCGTCGGGCAGAAGTGGATGTCATCGTTGGGCTTTGCATAACCACAGAGCCACTGCGCGATGCTGGTCTTGCATTTGTTGTCGTCCCGCTTGTTATCGTAGTTGTTGTACTAGAAGAGTTTACAGCCCCTCCAGCTGCACCGGTAGTTGTCGTTGTTACACCAGTAGTCGTGGAGCTTGATGACGTCAACCCAGAGAATAGATTCAATGACGTCCTTCCAAAGAAGTCTCCAGTGCTAGTCACACTTTGCGCGCGAGGCCTTGCGTCGCTACTGCTGCGTCCAGCACCAGTTGTGTATTTTTCGACGTCAAAAAACTTGTGGACTTTGACGCTACTGATCGGTGACCGACCACGCGATCTCCTTTCGCTAGGCGTCCTAAACCTGCTCGATTCTTGCAGAGGAATCGAGTCTTCAAGCTCAGTTCTAAAGCTGTCCGATTCCTGACGCGAAATTCCAGGTTTCCCCATTGGTGTCGGTGGTGCGGCTTGCGCGTCTAAATCCACATCACGAGGATCATTGCGCTCCTCTTCAGACATAATTGCTCTGTCATCCAGTAGTCGCTTCTTGGCAGATTCTCCTTCCCCATTGACGCCTCTACTTGGCGGAATAAATGGTGGTCTACTAGCGGAGCCGTCGTCCATCAGTGCAGCTAGCTGACTTTGTCTTCCATCATCCCTCAAGGCTAGCTGGCTTTGTCTTCCGTTCCCAGGTGTAGACACAGATGATCGGGTCAATGATGTACTGAAATTTGAGATTTCCAAGTGGATAGAGTTTTTCCTCGTATCTGTTCCGGAGTTCCACCCTGCACCACCCCACATAGAAGACGTCGAGCTCCTAATTGAGCTCCTCCCACTACTGCGGTTACTTGCACGATGCACAGCATCTACTGGACCTGAAGCCGCCCAATCCGCTATGGGCTCCAGCGCTTCTGGGTACTGTTTTCCTTCTCTCAGTTCTGGAAAGCGACTCAAAGACTTCTCCGTTCTGTGGATTTGGAACGGCACATGCGGTTGAATTCCGTATTTCATTGCATGCTCTTCCAATTTTTCCGTATACGCACGTATGCGCTCTTCGTACTGCTCTTGCCGCTTTTGCTCCAGCAAAGGCTGAATCATTGCACGCATTTTTCGCGCTCTGAAGCCTGCCTGCATTCGACTCGCGTATCTGTGCAAATCTATCGCCAAAGGTTTTCGCGTAATCACGAACCCTACTCCCCCTCTGCGCTTCAACCGCACAATCTTTTGTTTCATACTCAGGTTTGCGAACTCTGTGAAAAAGACCTGTTCAGACTCCTTGCCTGGTATTTTGCGCGTATGAATTTCCGTGATTTGATCTTCGTCGACGAAGTCGGTCTGGACACGCACGATCTCGTCTCCAAGTCGGAGACCCATGTCCCAAGCCCAAGTGTCGGGTGCTAATTTGTTGATGATAGAACCACGAAACGTGAAGCCCATCTTTTTCGCGCAATTTTCAGGGACGAAAAATTTCTTCTCGAAAAAGTCCGCGACTAAATCTGTAGTTGCATTATCCATGCCCTCCATGCCAGCATCCACATCCTCTTGTGTAATCAAAGGCAGCTTCGCTGGTTCATTTGTCAAATCAGGGACGGTGGTGGAGTCCTCTTTACTCTTGTTTTGCGACGTAGACGCTGCACTCTTTGGAGTGGTTCCACTACTCTTTTCTCCACCAGCACCAGCACCAGCATCTTTAGTTCCACTAACTCTTTTCGAAGGAGCTCCTGCTGATGAAGGCTGGTCGCCAGTGGCAGGTCCTGTACTCGAAGACGTAGAGGCTCGCTTCTTTGTAGTACTTGAGGAACTCTTCACTGAGCCGGTGGATGGCCGTTTCGCGCCAGCAGACGATGATGCCGAGGGACGCTTCGTCCCGGGATCTCCCGAGGAAGACCCTTGAACTTGCGACATATCTGCAATTAAAACCAGCTGTAGATATCAAACTCAGAGGCGACGACGATGTTAGTCGATTCGGATTGGACCTACGACTTCCCTGAGTTGTCTCTTCGGTGTTCTACGGTAAAATAAATGGATCAGATTCAGAGGTAAAATAAATGAAGATATTTTAGAGGCACGGGGAGGCGTATCCTAATCTTGATAAAAATAGATGTTCAACAGTCAGAGAGGAGTCAGTTATGCATGCATAGTGATAAGGATAGAATACTGGCAATATTAGTCAATAAGATCGACGAGTGATAAAAAGGAATTATCAGAAGTGGAATACTGGAAATGAGTGGAGATCATAGGGTTACTCACTCTTACTGTAACGAAAGGACGAAGAGGTGGCGGATCATAAGTAACGATTTCACTAAAACCTTGCCTGGATGAATATTGACTGTCTTTTTCCAAAAACACAAGATACCGAAAGTCAGACACTACCAAAAATGTATCTTCAGTGTTTCTATCCACGTAGAAATTTTTCGGATCCGCCTATGCTTTAATTACACGGATTATCAAGAAGGAGAAGGACTGAGACCACGACGAGATCCGTAAAAATCAGGATAGAAATACAAAAGAACTACGCATCCTACTACCTAGTATAATTAAAAAATCTTGACTAAAAAAATCACAACAATGTCACATGCAAGAATTTCTAACTGCTACAACAGACGAGTCAGTCGTGGAATGAGTGTACTAGTACTTATAACAAAACATGGCAAGGAAAAGGTCGGGTATACACAACGAAGAGATTAATCTTTTAGCTCTTCCATCAAGTAGCTCACATCGATTCAAGTGTAGGATTTGGCTAGTAGTCTACTGTGGTTCGGGAAGCCAAGAAACAGTTCGTAGTGGCACGTAGACACACTAGAGGTAAAAAAAATTGTAGCATATTAGATCTTTTTGTCTTTCATGAGGAATATGGCTAAAAAGCGCCTGCTGCTGATTAAGAGAGAAAAAGAGAGATGGAAAGGTGAAGATGAACTTGAAGATGCCTTTGTAGTACTTGCCGAAATTTATCACATTCACACTCAACACAGAGACCGAGACAAGACAGAAGATACCAAAAGCTCTCACCTTCGTTGTGAACGCTCTAGCATAATTTTATCATTCTCAACCTCTAATCGTTAGTCTCTCTATCTCTCTCTTGAACACTGATGCGCAATCTCGAACAGATAAGCTTGTATGTTTGTCTGTCAATTTTTTTCCAGCGGCTGCAGCGTGTTCTCTCGTGAACCGAAATTGTGACGTTAATACTGCTCTTCAACCGAATAATGCTTGATCTCCTCGTTTTGATTGTCATTGATTACAGGCGAGAAAGGGTAGCCTGCTCAAGAATTATGTATTGAACTGAGGTTCTCTTTCTTGTAGATCATCTTCGGAACACTGAGTCCTCGTTGGAGCAAGATGAAACGTCATACTCATGACCACGACGCTCACGAATCATGTTCTTCGATGAAGAGGTCGCTACTGGGAAGTACTTATGATTGGTGGGAAGCCTCGTTCTATAGAAATAGGGTCTACATTCTAAGTCCAACCAAGTAAAATATCGTTCTTCGGAGTGCAGTTGAGGGGTACCATCTTACGCAGTTCAGTACGTGTGCCGAAACTTTCTTCTAGGAATTGAAGTCTGTCTCTTTGCACACAAATCTTCGCACGCTCTACATTTTCTTGTTGGTTTGGTGCATTTCCGCCTAGCTTGCCTCCAATGGTATTTGTGGAGGTTATGGTCGTATTAGTTGTTGTAGCCCCTACTTCAGCTTCGAGTTCGACCAACATATTATCTTCACTACTGTGGCTTGCGAAGTCAGCAGCTTTCGCTAAAACGCAGAAGTCATTGTAGGAAACTCTAAGATGTTCCCGAAACAACGCTGACCGAGGATAACATACATCCAAAACACTATCCCATTTACGGTCTAAGAAACGGGATGTCGTCGTAGCTGTGGTTGTGGCACTGTGATGAGGGTCTTTGATGATGTTTGTTGCTCCCACGTTCTGTGCCAGTCTTCCAACGCAACAAGGTGCCACCACAAACCCTGCACTTTTCTCGGCGCACAGCGTCATCACCTCATCACTGGCGCGGCCACAAGCATGTAGAGCGATACCAAGGTCGAAGGGGACGTCGACGACTTCTGAGTATTCTGATACCATGCACTGGACTAGTCTGATTGTGAGACTTGGAAAAGCAGAGTCCTGCTCTGATCCGCGTCTGGGTCGTGGGGCAGTCGTTGAGGTGGACGGGGTACTACGGAAGAACCGAAAAGTTCGAACTATCTGCGCACGACTTCGGTGTTGCCGTTTCGTTGCAGGAGGAGCTTTCTTTTCTTGTCCGTGACCGTCCTCCCCGTCTTCATCTAGTGTTCGCACCAACCCAAACTGTTTCTCCATTTCGCCAAGCATATCAAGAACTCTCCGTTCGGCTGTATGAAGCGCCTCTCGATTCATATCTAGGATGGTGAATTCTAAAGGTCTACTGCTCCTAGAAGTACTACCTTGATGTTGACCTTCTTGAAGATGTAGCTGCTTCCACAATAGCGGGAAGGCGACATGCCCACTACCCGCACAAAACTCCACTATGTGCAAAGGCCTTGTAAGGGTCGTTGGAGAGAAAGACTTTGCTACAATATCCCCGACCATCTGCATTCCAGCCTCTACCATGTTGTGGATCTGCTGTCGCTTTCGTTCGGCACGGTGCGCCGGCACGCCACCACCAAAGTGAGGATCTGTGGCCTTTGGAAACCATGGGGTTGTAATCCCAGAGCATGACGATGTAGATGAGGGATATGAAGATGTTGATATTATTGGTGTTGCACTTGCAGAAGAGATAGGCTGGAGACTCCTAGTAGCTGGAGGGGTAGATGAGGATGTCGCTGGTGTCGGTGGAGTCGCTGGGGTGAAGTTGAGGAGGCTGCCTTTTGTTGATTTGCTGACGTTGATAGGGCTAGTACAACTACTGATAGTTGCATGCGCATTCGTCTGATTAAGTTTTTCCCACACTGCGTTTACGACTTGATCGCGCACTTTCGGCGTCTTGTTCTGTCTAAATCTCGCAGCACGAATGGCCTTTCTTTCATGCTCTTCCAAGGACATGGCGTCCACACGGAAGTCGTTCTGCTGATCTCGAGTCGTCTCTAACTTCCTCCTCGCTTCACTTTGCTGAGGTAAAGTGCGGCTGTACATCGCTGTGCAATCTCCCTCCTCACCCCAGGAAATCTCTGAGAGAAAGACACTCTCATGGTTCTGGAATTCGTGGGAGACCGGAAGGTTGGTGACTTCCGCCAGTGCTTTCATCATCTTGCTAGGCCAATCTTTTTTCGATAACTAGTACATCCAATAAAATCTAAACTGCAAAAGAGTCTGGCTCGCATCATCATGGAAGTAGGAACGAGTGGATGCATGATGCGCTTTTCACATGTGGTAGAATCACTTGTCTATCATCCACCTTACTCTTCGTCCTGTTGTGGAAGGTACTATAGGTAGTACAAAAACTATGCTTGCGGTCTCTGACTACCAAGCAAAAGCGGAAGAATGTGGCTGTACGTCAATCACATCCACATAATGATCTTTCTCCCAGGATAAGTGGAGTGGAACTGGATAATCGTGCCGAGGATCCTGTTCCTGACGTAAGAAGAAAGCAAAATGAAAGCGGAACTTTTTTGCGTTGTCTTCGTTGTCCAACAGAACCTTGCCTCTTTTATGGTTTGATGCGTGGGTAAAGATGATCTTCTCTTCTCTTGGTGAAGTTGGACACGCCACTTGGAATTCGATCTCCTTCGATCTTCTTTAATTATGGCACTAAAAAGACAGTGTCTTTTACGATCAGCAGGACCTTTCATTCTGCCCGCCTTGCTCCTGGTAGTAAGTTTCTTTGATTTTTCTTCCTTTTTCGATTAATACACTTGTTCTGTTCAACGATTTCATCAAGGAGAGTGCTGAACCTGAAGTGCCGGATTATCCGCAACATTCTGTACATCATGTAATTGTTCTGTGCATGTCCGAAACAATTCGAGACTTTGGTTCACAGCCGAAAGGACACCACGACGGCTGTCTTCACCGGCTGCATCAGCGGACTTATGATCATCTCCTGCAACCGGCGTCGCGTCGGGTGCGGAGTGAGATGATAGTTTCACGAAATACTTCAGCTGATTCCGTCTCTTTTCTTGGCAGACCTTCCTGTCAGGCTCGCTCCAAGGAGAGTACAGGCGCAGGGTGCCATATCTCTTGAAAATATCACCGCCGTGTCGCAGAACAAAACTCTTGGGAAAAACGTAGAAACCGCAGAGGGGATTCTCTTGTCGCACGCTCAGGTGCTCTCGAAGGGACTCGAGTGTTGTGGTGCTGTCGATATTTGCTCCTTGTATCTGTACGTCGTCACGCATCAAGACGACGAAGCAGTTTATTCGGGAAATATCAGTCGCCCACTTGGCTCGACCATCGTTGCGCCACAAACAGACGCTGCGCCCCTGCTTACTTCGGAAAGCGTCTAGTTGGACTGCGACGGCAACTAAAACAGGCTGTTCTTCAATCATGACGACGGACTCTGGTGAGAAACTGGGATCTGTTGCACGGCGTACACGGAGCCCGCATTGCTTTTGAAGGAAAGAAAGGAACTGAAATAGGAGTCGTTGCGGGCCGAAGTCACGCTCTGATGAACAAAGATCCCGGAAGAGATCGTCAATGGAACCACACGAAGTTTGAGAGGCATGTCGTGTAAGCTTCGCGGTCATCTCATTGCACCTTTTCGTCTCATATTTCTCAATCTCTTGCAGTGATGTCGCCAAAGTGCGAGACTGGGCGGCGCAACGCCCACGTTTGCTGCGCAATACTTCAAGGAAATCATGTGGCAGAAAGAAAAAGCGCGGGTCTTCCACCGTTTTTGGTTTCTGGTCGGAACGAGGGATCTGACTTGATGTTGTATCTGCGTGCAAAGGATGGCGATGAAGATGCGTATGCGTCTCCCGAAGTAACAAAACAATGCCAGTGCCTTGGTTATACCGCGTATCCTGAAAATAGAACAGTCTCGGATTCCTTTGCCTCTTTATGGCACAAGTGGTTGCAAGCTGTTCTTTCGAAGAAGCAGAAGCTCGATCGCATCGGGCAGTGCGAATAACAAGTGGATACCACTTATTTTTCAATGCAGCAGCAGGAGAGCAGGATTCTCTCGGCTTCGGCGGTTTGCCAGTAAGATTGAAAGTACTTCTAGTGCCCCGGCGCGGTCTTCTTACTTCCCGCTCAACAACACCTGCGTGTGCTGTCGTCAGCTGTTTCTGTTTCGTCTGATCTAGTTCTGGAGGAAGAAGTTCGGTCCTGTTTTCTAGTGGCGAGTATAAGAATTGTGCGCGAGATCGCCAAAGCAGCGTATGAAAATGCCACACGGGTCGCGACGAGGTCGCCATCCATTCGACAAAAGCTTCTTGTGTCGCCCTCCGCACCTCATACGCACTCACTACCCGGCTCCTAACGCTGCGCTTCATCTGTCTGCGGCTCGTCAGAGAAGTGGCTTCCTCGAGCTCGATGGCGGAAGACGCTGCGTCGACAGCATCATGCTCTTCATGCCTGTGGTCTTCATCTTCTTTGGGAATGCGTCTTGCAGCGGTTGAGCCACTTCCACGGAGACGCAAGTCAGGTCGGAAAGAGGCGCGCCCGAGCCAATCTGGCATGCCATCCCAACCGCAGTGCACATAGACTGTTCGAGGGCAGCTTGGAATCTCCTTTGGACGCAAACTCGTTTTTGACCACAGAGTCCACTCCAGCGAAGAGCGAAGACCCAATCGGTGCACATATTCCCTCGCCTCTTCAAACGGCAAGAATGTCGACCCAGGCTGCCATGCTTTATGTAGCCATCTCCGGCCCGCTGGCTGTAGCGGATGCGTCAGTCCGAGTGCGGGCGCGCTCGAACGCGTGAAGTGACGAGTCAACATTTTTGCTACTCTCCCACGACAACATGCTTACGATTTTTTCTTTTTATCATAGTTGATTCCTCAGTGAGTCACGCTATCTAGCGATGTCGACATTTTTCCGAGTTTTCAAACAAGGCCTACTTCTTTTTGGGGAGCTCTTTTTTGTACTTAAATTGAAATTGAATAAGTGAATCGTTTACGCTTGGCTCATGTGGACACACCACCTCCTGCAGGACCGACAAGTAACGGAACCTCATACGCGATGCAGTCAGGTCAATGTCCAACGCTTCGGGATTCATCCAGGAGCAGAAAACTTCGGTTCGGCGCGAGCTTAATAAACTGCATGATCGAAGCCGGAAAATTCCAGCGTTCCCGTGCCAAAAATATACTCTTTGACGACAACATGTTGCAATTATTCAAAGAACTTTTTCACATCCATGATGGTCGTTGTCCAGATTCAGCACCTAGCTCTATTGCGTCGACGTTATATTCGAGTGTCACATGATGACCATGACCACAACGTGATATTTAAGGTCACTGCTTCAAAGTAGATGCCTTCCTGGTTGCTATATTAAGCGTTAGCCAAAAATTTGGACATCTATAGACCGTGTCAGATACAGAAATCTAGCGTCACATCGTGCGTAGCGGTCAACGATGACTGTTCCCAAAAAAGAAAAAAATACATTCATTGGTTGACATATCGAGTTCTAAAACATAGGCTAATCTTTGACCAGAATATCTCAACATGGCAGACTTATGCTACCTTTTTCATTTGTTGAGAAACAGCGTCATTTATTTCCTCTGTCTCTGTCTGTGCATAGTATAATAGGTTGGCAAATGATTTCGAGTAGCTGCGTTTCTTTCGTCATGTCTTACTTGTAGTTCATCTGATTTGAGCATGCAAATGCATAAAAAGAGAATAAGAAAGCCTGTCTGATTTGCTATCGCGTCTAATATATCATGCTAATGCTAATGTGTAGTTTGCGATTCAAGTAGTTCAATCCAAGGAAATAGCTAAATGGTAACAGGATCCATCGTTAGAAAAGGTAACAAGTAGGTATCTTTAAGCCTAAGCATCAGTGTCAGTTTCAATATATTTGTATTTGTAAGTTCATCTATGGATAGTAATTCAAAATGCGCTACTAGTGTCGCTTATCCAGTTACTTCGGTTAAGCTGGCTCCATAACGGTCTCCAGAGGTGGTGGCTCTGGTCGTCCGGAAGCTGAATTTGATATCAAGATTTTTCATATTTGTGTTTACACGACCGGGAGAGGTAGCAAGTTGTGTTACCTAGGAAAACCAGAAGGGTTCAAGATAAATCAACGTCGAGGGAGAAGTTGTATCCAACTTCCTGCACGTGGAGATTGAAAAAGCAAAGAGAAGACAATACAAATACCACTTGATCCGCTCACTGTGGTTCCCTTCATCGAGGCAGCGGTCGGCGCATCCGCAAACGAACCAGCATGATTACTTTCGTTCGAATTCTTGCTTGCGGCAGCGCGTTGCAAGAGGAGCGCGCGTGCTCCATCGACTTCTGGTGAGTGTGGACAATTTATATGGACGTGTTTGGTCGATGATTTGCGAAAAGGTAAGTCCAACAAGATGATCTTGGATCTAAGAGTTTCAAAATAAGAAGCGAAATGAGAAAATGTAACAACAACAAGCGATAACAAGGTTAATACCATCTCCCTTCCCACTCGGAAACTGTCCTCCCTCCAACAGGACACTTTCGAGCAACGCCGAATTAAATACGCGTCGTCCTGGTCCAAACTCACGTTTAAAACTTTTCTCGCTTTTCTCAACGTCAGGCTGAAATCTGCATTCCCGCAGTTCAGACTGCTGTCGTTTCCACCGTTCTTCATCCCGTTTTCTGTCCTGCTCCTGCTGTTTTTCTCGCAGCTGTTCGACATAGTAAGACCGGTAGGCTTGGGTCTTCGCAGGTACTGTGTCGTAGGCGCGAGTGACGGCGCCAAGGTCCGGGCGAACATACTTCGTGGTCTCGAGCTCCTTTTCTTGAGTGATTAGAAAAGGGAATAAAAAGTAGAAAACAAAGGAATAAACCCAAACTATCTTCTACTTATTCAATTCTCACAGGCTGTTCGCGAAGCAACAAAAGGTGGATTGAATTCTCTCATCGAGCTCGCGACTGAATCTCATGCTGACAACGACAACCCCAACTAAACACCAAGTAACCCATAACTTTTGTTCGAGCCTTTGGCTTATCTGCTTCACGCGTTCCCGCCTTCGATCCAAATCTCCGACTGAGAGCTCCTCCAGAGACCGTCGCTTCGCCAGCGTTTGAGACTTAGGGTTAATCCGAGGCGCAAAAGTGCACTCCGTCACTGTTTCGGCTGCTCGCGACCGCGGTGGCGGTGCGTCGCCTCCATTTGAAGCGCGTGGGTGTCCGCCTCCACCTAGTGATATTCCTGACGGACCAGCTCCAGCACCTGACAACTGTTGTGAAGTTCTTGCGCGGACAGCGTTGTAGTGAAGACTACGACCCATGAGGAAGCTGCCATGCTGGTCTCCCGCTATGTCGCCGTAGCAAGTTCTTCGCACGTCGATCGCATTCAGAACATCATCGTCAGTAGTTTCTTGATGAATACTGCCAAATGAAGTGCTTCCTCTACCACCTCCACTTCCTCCAGGATAGACCTGATTCCACTTTACACCACCCTGTTGGGCTCCACCTGTGGCCGCCTGTGCGAGCGCCGCACCAGTATCAGTACCTCGCAAGTAACTCGACCGCTTCTGGTTTGTTGCTGCTAGACGTCGGGAGCGGGTGTTTAAACGCGGTTGGTGCGGATGGATAGCATACTTCTTCTCAAGTTCATCCATATTCGCCTCCTTCTCGAATTGCTTCTCGTTCTGTCGCATCAGAAAACTGTGATAAATCTCGCGCTTCGCAGACTCTGAAACAAAGGAAGCGCCCTGTGGTAGAAGAGGGTCGTGAATCTTATTTATTCATGTGACCACGGTGATGCGGGAACTTGTTCTCAAGAACATCTTTATGATCTGCATGAACAACATATCAATAGATGGTGGAAGATACCCTCATGTGCCCAGCACTACCTTTCCTTCCGAAGACAAACCCAAATACGAGTATTTGTACTGCATCCCCCGTCAGCATGCTCGCTCCAACGTCACCGCCACCGCCTGCGGCTGCTAGGTGTGCTCCTCCACCACCTACAAGGTTCATTTGACTGCCTCCACCTGTTCTGCCGCCACGCCCAGCATCTGATGTACTCGAATTGTGTATCTCGTGGTTCGGCATGGACAGTCGTTCGATTAGAGGCTGCGCTATGTATTGCATTCCTCAGAACATCCCTGGCCCCTTACTTTTCCAGGGATGTTTCTTTCGCATGTGAATGCAATGTGGAGCAAGCCCTTAATTTGAAGACGTCTTCTGAGAGGTATATCCTCGCCGCCTTCATCTCATCAGGTATGTCGTTGACCATAGGGTGAAAGGTCATATTTTGGTTTTCGTTCGAGCTCAGCACCTTTGCGCGCATCCGTTGCTCTCTCACCCGACTACGTGCAGCGACACGACTCTGCAAGAGCCGCTCCTCGGTTTCTGAGTCGACTGGGGTTAGAGGAGTAGGAGGTAAGAAGTTAGTTGTATGTAGTTTTTCAATGAGCAATGGTGACGAAGTTTTTGTACACAAGGGGACTCACGTCGTTTCTTGTCAACTTCTAAAACAGAAACTTGATTTTCTAGTAAAAACATTAGCTTATGAAGAGAACTAGAGCAAAACTAAAGAAGTGTCTTCCCTTAATATCCCCAACCCCCCTTTCCGTCCGTCAATTATCGCCCCCGCCGCTAGCATACCTTCGGGCGTCGAGGATGACGTACTCACATCTCCGTCTTCCTTCTGCTGACCCAGCATTATGAGGTGTTTCGACTCGTCCCAAAAACAGCTCCGATAACACTTGTAGCTCTTCTGCGACTGCCTCAGATCAGGCTGAAACGTGCACTCAGCCATCTCCAGTGCTTCCTGCCGCTGTCTCGCTGCTTCAGCCTCCGCCTTTCGTGCTTCGATATACGATAAACCGGAGTGGGCTGATATCTGTCCCGAAGGTGTTGGCGTGGGTGGAATGAGATGAACAACTAGTACTAGTAGTTATTACATGGAAATATAGATGCTGCGGGATGATATTTATATAGTAACATCAAACTCGCTTGAACAAGCCAGCCGCTGTTAGATACGGGTACCTCCAAATATTTGCTCGCGACTTCGTAATTGTTATCAGGGACTTTGAGACTTGGATCGTCAGGTTGTATCGGTGTTGTGCCTGCAATGGAGTGCAGATCCGAACGCTGGGCCATTTCGAGCTGGTACAGGAAGTTATTGCGGTTTTTTCGCATTAGATTTGCGGTTGACGAAGATGAGCCTCCATGCTGCATGGATCCCCCTACTACGTTCCCACTGAGGCTCACTGGCCCCCCTGCATCAGCGCCTCCTCCAGGTGAGGTCTTTCGCGTTGCACCAAGGACATTGTGATGCGTCATGGCGGTTGTTCGGTGGTTGTTTCTGTTGTTCATTGAAGCAGACGCTGTTGATCTTAGAGCTACCAACGTGCATCCCTGAGGCCATCCCTGGATCCATGATTTCCCTCTTGAAAATGAGGCCAAGGATCATGCTGTAGGAGGTAGGATGCTCGCTTGGTAGCCTTAATGATCTGTCCTCTGGGTCATGCTCCCGGTCGCCAACGCCATAGTGACCTCCTTCATGAAGCTCGACATGGTTCAGACTCCTCGATGAATTGTTTAGTGGACTCACACCGGCATGTCCTCCTGCGCTAGTACTGTTCCCGAGCATATTGATGTGCACACCGGACCCGCCTCCTTAGGTGTTAGAGCAAGAGCAGGCACAGGCTCTTCTATCACTATCTGAAAGTAAAATGTCAACAGGGTTGTACAAAAATCTCCAAAGATCTTCCTTCTCGTCCATCACAATTTCCTCTACTAGATAGAACAACGAACTACTTCTAAAGAACTTGAACTTTAACAAGTTTAACCTACTCAAATTGTCATAATGATCCCTCCTTTCGCTGACCCTTGCCGATTTGGGCGAAAAACACACTCTTTCATCCGCTCTAACTCGGCTTCGGCATTGCGAACCTCTTGCTTGTACTTCCGCTTTAGCAGCCATTGTGCCTGCGAAGTCAAAAAGCGTTCTTGCACCTGATTCGCGCTCTCGGTTGCTTCTCTAGGCCCACTAGAGGCGACCGCGCCACCGGACATGACGGCACTGAAGGAGAACCGTAAATAAGAGGAGTTGATGTCGATAACCATGATCTGGAAAAAGATCAAAAAGAAGTTCGTTGTGATGAAGCAAGATGACAAGAATATGCTGCTGTTGTAGCAGAATACAAATTCAGTAAAAAAAATTCATCGACTTCACAAAACAAAAGAAAACCATACAAATAACAAATGATCTCCAACTTCCTCCAGTAGTACCCTCCCGTCGGTCCTTTCCATTCAATAGGGCCTTCAGAGTTTGACTCATCCGGTTTCCTTTCGGGTCCGATCCAGAGGGTTTCCTGTCGCGCGTCCCCTGTAAGCATGTCTTCGACAGGGGTTTCCGCGACATGGCTCGCGCCACCGACACCATAGTGAATCGTCTTTTGGATGCTCATGTTGTCTTTCGTGTTGGTGTTGATGAGTTATTAAAGCTAATGAAGAGGTGAGTACATAGAGGACGTAGGTGTAGAGTAGATGTAGAAGCAGCGTAGTTGTGGTGCTTAATGTTAATTCGGTTACTTAGTTCCATCAAGTGGGATTTGGGTCTGCAGGGGGAGAGCAGATCATGTTAGATAGGCAGGAGCTCACGGGTAGAGAGACCTTTACAACAGCACAACGTGGCACACTTGATTAAATCGGACGAGCTCTATATCCGTTCGTGTCACACCAGAGAAATGCAGTCCTCTGGTGTGGTTTTCTATTTTTGGGGTGATTGGTATAATTGAGTTTGTTATCGCGTCGTAACTAAAGGTGCTGGCTCCACGACCTAAGAACTGCATTTTTCAATGGCGAAACTGAAACTGTATGAAATGCATTTCCGTTCTTTCTCTCTTCTTTTTACAGATTTCTTCTGTATAGGATCGATAAGAATAATCGTTTTCTTCCTTTCATCTTCGTCACGCCTAGTTGTACGTCGAATGATGAATTTCAAAAATTTATTGGACGCTGTCATTTGCATCGCCTTGCGATACGGTCTCTCGCTTTTACGACACCAGGTCCTTCTACGTAGAACAACCTACTTGGTTCTCGAACATTTCACAAAGTCAAAATCGAACAGCTGCGAGCGACAGCGAGACGACCCCTAGTCCTGCATACTGTCGAAGACGTCGACAGGGTTTTCATTTTCTTGTGGTCGTTTCCCTGATGCAAATAAAACTATTCCAGTGCTTGTTTGGCGCAAGCATATGTAAAAAGGCGTGATCTTTCCCGATAAACTTCATTGTACGTTGTGCTTAGTCGAGGATCCATGATCGATGGAGGTGTCCATCTGGGTCGCTCAACAGGAACTACGAGACCCATAATATGATGTCAATAACCCTTAAGGAGAATGTCATCAACAACATGGTTCTTGTTTTACACCAAGTTACTTTCGTCCCTCAAGTATTCTCCAATGTCGCTCTGGTGGTAGACCACAATAGCCTCCGCTGGTGCGTCTCTGCATTCTGATGTGCTCTTCGCTGCTGTCCCAAAGCCTAACGGCAAATCCCCTTGTTCGCTGAAAATGACCACACCTGCATTCCTTGGGACATCTTCCGTGATTCTTCGCAAATGCGCTTTCACTGCGTGGTTTCCGTAGAGGAAATGTTGTTCGCCACCAGGTTTGAGCCAGACTTTGTACTTCGCAAGCCTAGCCAAAAAATCCAAGCACGTAATTTGAAGGTGAAATTTGCCACTATGGGTAAATTTGCCGAAGCAAACGCCAAGGGAAGCGAGGTTCTTGCGAGCGGCGCAGCCGGCTGATTTTCAGGAGGTGATGATGTGGATAAACCGAGGAGGGTGGGAAATGTCTAGCTTTAGGATCGTTTAATTGAAGTCGAAGTTACGCTTCACTATCATAACAATGGATTTATTGTACCTAGCCACTCATACTTATCATTGTCTAAATATTTTTGTTGAGAAAGCTTTGGTGGGTAAGCAAGTACCTTTCTTCAGCAGTGATTCTCCGACATAGTAGACTCGCTGATTGTGAAGTCGGAAAACATGAGGTTCGTCTGCTCGCTCCACAAGCTGTCGCACTCCGGTTCCTATGTACCTCGACAACTTCTCAAGGAAGAGCTTCAATTCTTCTTCTGATAGGGGCCTCATTTTTCAAGAAGATTGATTGGAAGGAGAAGTTCGCTTACACAATGGTTGAAGCACGACGTAGAAGATAGTCGTTAAAAAACTTGATAAGTAAGTATAATTTGCTTACAAGAAAGATACAAGTTATCTCATTGAGTGAGAGCAACCACAACAGCTAGCGCTTTAAGTCCTTATCTTTAGGTCAAACTCTACGACGACGACAACTCGCACGTATTCGTCCAAAAAAGTACACCTGCCTGTATAAAGAATTTTTAACAAATTATAAGTAGGAAGATGCATGATCAAGTGGTCGTCAGCCAAAACATCAGAATCAACATTGGATCTTGTTCTAATTTGGATCTTCTACGTTTCAACGATCTTCTTGATCCATGATCATGACCACAGCCTTCTGCATCTTGTTGAAGATGTTGATCTTGATCTCCTCTCACTTTCTTCATAGACAAGACTTCATGCTTTTACCAACTACGAGGTTCGATCTTGATAAAAGATACATCTTCAAGACCTCTGATTTAATAAGTGTTTTGCAGCAGAGGATCGCTTTCTCAGACGAAGGTGATGGGCCTACTCAACAACGCCTAATAAGATGATCATCGGGTTGTAGTTTTGTGGGATGTCTATTGTTGTTCTCCACGAAAGTGATCGTACATTGCATGCGACTTCTTGGAAAAATTGTAAGGCTACTTTGCAAACTTCACCTTTTCGGATAAAACAACCGCGAATGATCAATATCATCGAAACCTTAGTACAAATGAATGTTGTTCATCAAGCTCAGCAGGATTTTTTCTTGAAGATACCACGTGGTTTATCTTTATATGTGATGTCCCCAACGTTCGTTCTGCTGCGATCACTATTTTTTCAACTGACTGAGTACGTTTCCTGCAGTAAAGCTCCACGGATTTTTTTCGCGATCGTCCCTTCGACACTGTTTTTCTTTTTCGGCACTGCACTTTGCCTCTTGGCATTCGAATTGTCGAGTTTTTTCTTTGATGCATCTTCAGTCACGCTAGCACTAGCTACGACTGAAACTGAGCCTGAAGGGAGAGTTGATGCTTCTTTTATCTTTGTCTTCGGCTTTGCCTTAGCGGACGCAGATTCCCGTTCACGAATTTGACTTTTCTTCCTTGTATTCTTTCCTCCACCATCAGCTGACGTTGAAGATGAAGAAGATTTGGCTTTTGACGTCCTCGAAGGAGATCTTGATTTTGATGTTCTAGCTTTAGTAGTAGGGCTAGTATCACGCTTTGTCGTCCCAACAAGAACAGCTGCCGCAGACTTGCGAACAGGAGCTACAGCCTTCACGATCACGAAGTTCTCAACCTTTTTTTTCATTTCGCCTCCTGCTGTGCTGTCGTTTTTCTCCTTACTATTGGTTCTTGCACTACCAGCTTCAGCGCCAGGCATCGTCTTTCTCTTTGCTTTGTTGAGTTTATTTTCCGCCAGTCTTGGTGCCAGATGTTGCAGCAAACGTTTACTCTGGACGATGCTGCCCAGTTTGAGGCCTGCCCGTTCAACCTGCTTCTTTGCCTGTGCTGCGTGCTCGGGCGGCAAAGCTGTAGTTGCACTCTCCGATGCTTTGTTCACCGCAGCCTTCGCGACCTCGCTTGAGACACTGGAACTACGACGTGGTGGTGGTAGGAGTCCCGAAACCGAACTGCGAGTACTAGTATTCTTTGGAAGCACTGGAGCAGCCGGTGTAACTACTTCTGTGCCAGCTGCAATAGTTGGTGGAAGTGGCGCTGCAAGTGCTACCCCAGGAGTCGTAAAGCTTGCCCTTGGTATCGGTAAATTGATTTTAGGTGGCGATGTTCGATAAGTGTACTTCTTGCCCATGCCTGGTGTTGCACTAGAAGAACCAGTTGGCGTTGACGGTGTCTCAAAAGGCAAAATTGACGTGGTCCTCCCTGCTGTAATATTATTATCCTCAAGAACATCGTCGAAAAGCGCTAGGGGCAATGGTCCTTCAATCGGTGGCGTTGTTGACTCGCTAGTATTCGCGGCCTCGACACCTAGATCATCTACGCCAGCGACCTGCTCATCACTACGAAGATCCCCACGACCACTTAGATGAAGTTTCGTTTCCGCGTGTCCTCCGTCTTCCCGCTCTACAACGCTCCTTCTAGCAAAGGAAGCTGTAAGCTGGACAGAGCCTGGCTTCTCATTCTCCTCATCGCCAAGTGCAGAAAGCCAAAGCATTCCTTCATCAACAGCATCGACTGAAGCTGCTGCTGCCTCTTCTTCAGCAGTCGCAGTACTGGTGTTTGTGATCATCTTGGGTATTTCATCTGCAGCTGCTCGTGGTGTCTGTTCGCTTGTTCTAGTATCCACCTCTTGGTCAATCCTCTGCACAACTCGCGGCTGCACCGCGGAGGATCCCTGTGCAACGCGTACGGCCTGTTCTCCAGCAACTTCTTCACCTTCACCAGCCCGTCCTTCCTTTTCCATCATCGATGGTGCTACATCATCAAGGTTATCAACTTGTTGTTCACCGACTTCTAGTGCTTCTCCTCGTTTTTCTTCCGCTCGTAGCTTCTCCAATTGCGCTATAGTCATCTCTAGAATGTCTACTGCCTGTCGCTGTCGCATCCTGGAAGATGAGGATCCACTATAGAGCAGTTTGCTAGACGCACTTGTAGACATATTAGGCAGACCGGCACCTCCACCAGCTGTTCCAGATGAAGAATTGTGGAGGATCACGTGTTGTTGTTGTGGTGAAACTGAAAGTGGTGAGGAAAACGTATTTTCGACGTCTCTGTCTTTCGATAGCGATGTTGCACTACCTTCAGCGCGATGGGAGACTTCCTTTCCCCTTCGCTGGTGTTCTGGAGGCTCTTTCTTCGTATGCCGTTGGTGTTGTTCCAACATCGACTTTCGAAGGAAGGAAATAGCTGAAAACGGTTCTTCAGCGTTCTTGTTTATTTTCGTGTCTACAACTTCTGCTTGACTTCGAGTCAAAAATGATCCTTGGTCTACTTCGAGTGCATGTCGCGATTCAGTCAGGGGAGAACTGAACTTTAGATCCTCAACTTCTACCTCGTCTTCTCCCGTGTTCTGTTTCTCTTCTGGCGCATCAAGTGTCTTCCTCAATTGCCTTTCCCACGTGCCGAAATCAAATGTATTACGACGTGGCGTTTTTGCTGTGGAGGATGAGGGTGATGAAGCTTTTTCTTGTCCAGTCTGGTGACCTGCACCTGCTGCACGACCACCAGGAACGAAACCAAATGATCCCCTTGTAGTATTTCTAGTTTTACTAGTCGTATATGAAGATGATGCTCCTGCTCCTTGCATCTTGTCCCTCCATACCACACCACCTGCTGAAAAAGCAGCCGCGTACTTGTTCGGAGGAGCAAATGTCTCATGCTCCTCTGACTTATGAAACAGAGATCGATCATCTTGTGCCCTCTTTCCGTGCTGCAGCATTCGAGAAGCTCGGCTTTTCCTGACAAATTCGCTAAACTTACAGAGCTCAACACCCAAATCCATCTTCTCGAAATACGAGATGCATCCTAGGCCGCGCCTTTTCCCCTTGAAAATAAAGCCTATGCATTCAGGATGCTTCCGAAGATGGTATTCAGGATGCTAGCCGAAGCCTTAATAAACCCAGGATCTGTTACCACTGCCGCCACGTGCTCATCCTCTTCTGCAATAGTGAAGCGGCGCGCTGGCGTTCTAAAAGGGTGGACAAAATCCTCAGGATCTGGACTGCTACAAGTCGGACTACTCGAGGAAAGTCCACCATCTTCATCTACGATGTCCACGACACGGCTTTTCTTATCAAAGAACTTCTCGTTACGGCTGGTGTAATCTTGGCCGCCTAGTACGTCGTTGTTCTTGTTTACACTGCTACTTTCTTCGTTGTTATTATAATTTCCAAAGTTCGCCTCACCTCTTCCAACGACAGTTGTATCTCCAAGTACCTGACTAAGAAACTTCCGTCGGTAGTCTTCCGCCATCTGCGTTGATGTCCGGCGAGTACGACGCGATCTACTGCTTCTTCTATTCTTAGAAGATGAAGATTCACTCGTGCGTGGTGGAGAAACCTCTGGCTCTGCTGGTTCATCGTTTTCATCTTCATTGTAGTACCACATTAGACTGCGATTCATTGCACGACCAGGAGCTTCCTGATCAACTGGTGTGGTCGGTGAAGGCTCATTGAGACAAGAAGCTAGCTTGTCCCGTTGACGCGACCGCGATGGACTCGATGGACAGCCACCTCCAGATGAGAAGTAGAACAAATTTTCGTCTTCGTCTCTTTCTTCATCTTCAACACTTCGATGAAGATCATCATGCGACCTACACGAAGTGAATGTTCGCGTACTTTCCTTGCTGCCCTTCAAACTTTCACCTGCCGCAAAGGTTTGGAGCTCGCTTCGATATTGTTTTTGTCGGTGCCGGAAGTCGTCGTGGATGTACGCTAACTGAGCGCGCAATCTGTCGCACTCAGCCTTCAGCAGGACTTCCTCGGTTCGAGATCTCATCTTGAATCGCTATCGTTGTCGTTGTAACCACGACCAGTGCGCCGTCCAGGTTTACGACCTTCTCATCATCAAGATCATATGCATATGATCTCGCATCTATCATCAAGGTAAAAACGTTATGTTGGGTGGGAATCCGAAAATCTATTATTCGCGACATGAAAAAGTCACCTGTTCGTCGAATAAGGTGGAGTGGGGATGAAAGTAGGAGACAGGAAAATTACTAGCAAGCAACCGATTATGGATTCACCACTATCGTACGTCGGTTCATCAAAGTCGTGAGACAGGCAACTTCTCTTCTAGTGTACTTCGGCTCTACCTGCTCCCGCCTTGCCTAACCGATATGGAGCTGCATATTAATTTGTAACATTTCACTAACAGACTTTGAAAAGCTGCTACCGATAAATAATTGCGACCAGGTCGGGACGCCGCTCTGAACAGGATGTACGAGAAACTTGATCAAAGCTTGCGAGAATCCGCATTCCCGTAAATTCTAGAAACTACACAAGGATTCGGAGAATCCTACATCGTAGCCGTAGGCTAGAGAAAAACCTTTACTTACTTACATCACAAGTAGAAAGGTCAGAACCTCGTCATCATTATGAATACGACAGAAGCACAGCTGATGTGCATCTACGATTCCGAGGGCGCTTCTTCCATCTCTGGGTAAATTGTCAATTCCGGATTGTTCGGCTCTCCGAGTCTTTGTGCTGCCGGAAACTCTATCAAAGATCCTGGAATTTCGTTGTTCTCTAGAAACACCCTTCGTGGCATCCAGTTATCCGGTGTGTGACTCGCCAGAGTCAGATATTCGACTTTGCCTCCCACGTCTTCTGCGTAAATGTCCATCTCCGTTCGTGATCCGGGAGAAAAGCCCTTTTTCAACAGCTTATACCCTGTTTGCTTGGTCCCACTACCAATGCGCATGTACACAGCGCCTGACGTGCCACAAGTGGCGCAGGAAGACGTGTCGATGAAGAAGTGGTAGCGACGGAGCGGTTGTGCTGTTGATGGAGTGATGTCAGCGGTGAAGCACGTAGAAGGTGTTGCTATTGTGCGTCTCATCCTGCTATTGCTTTTGCTTGCGTTTGGAATCTGAAAGAAAATAGGATGCGATACGTCAGCAGGCGTCGATATCTGACGAGGATCCAGCCAACCACTGCTGATTGCCACGCCTGTATTTGCCCGCCCTGCAGAAACAGATGCTCCGTAGACCGTAAATGAGTCGGAGAGAGACGTCGTCGATGCCATTGCGTCAAGGTGACGCTGCAAAAACGTAAAGACCCCCATTCTTGCAATTTATTAGTCAGATTCCATTAAAGACCTTGATGATGCAGAGTTATTTGACATTTTGGTTATATTTCTGTAGTTGATCTTCCTTGCTTTTTTATCTCCACAGTTTTTACCTATGACATCAAGTGATTAGCATCTGGAAATAGAGTTCATATGATCCAATTAAGTGTGTTGATAACGTGTTTTATGGTTGTATGAAGTACTACGTCCGAGTGGGGGGAGAAGATGACAGCTAGGAACCGATGCCTCAGCTCTACCGAGTTTCCTCGTTCGCGCGCAAAGGCGAACCAGCTACTTGTTCTCTTGAATGATCCAGAGCGACAGAACCGAGATTATTCAAGTGGAAATCGAACATGACAACTCGTGCAAAGATCATTCTCACGGCGACCGATATCCTCAAACTGAAGAACATCAACAACATAGTACTGGTAAGTAACTACATACGGGGACGAGGGCTTGTGTTCTCTCCATCACCCGGGTAGAGGATTTTGTTCGCGAATCATGCTGAGGAGCTAATGCGATGTTCAGATGTTTATGTTGACCATTTGGTTGTATGGGAAGGGTTTATATGCAGCATGTGCATGTAATAGGCTATCATAGAAATGTTCGCTAATTCAAAGAGCGAGTAGTGGGGACTTGGGTGTTGTACTTGTAATAGTAATTGTACTACAATTGTGAATTCTTATTCTACCAGGAGATCGTAAGAAAAGATCAAATTTGGAAGTGGATGACAATGTGAATTTCGAATTGCTTCTACGTCAAGCTAGTAATTCAGGAAAGCTGCACGACGATTTGCCTATCAATCCGTATGTACTATCCATGAAGATTTGTCATTCTGAATGCGAGGGTTCTTTTTGCGACGATGGATTCTATTTATCTATTTGTACTTATGTCCTGTATCGAATAGTTTTTAGAAAGTATGATCAGGTCTCTCTTGCTGTAGCAAAAATATTGATCGAAAAACTTCATGCGACTCCCTACCGTCTTTTTCTTGTCACAAGAGTTATGAATGTAAAGAGAATTATTTTTTTCTCAAATTTACGACGAGCAGCACACCAGGTGCGTGGTTTTTCCTCATTTAATATTTTGCTGCCGGCGTCTGCACAGGCGGAGATGAGGATTTCTCGGCACTGTTTTCTTGCTTTTCCTGAGGAGATCCACTTCCACTTGAACTTGCACTCCTGATGGAGAGAAGTAGATGGTCACCGCATCGGCGAAAGAATAAGAATAAGAATTTGAATGTGTTTTACTTTTAGATAAATCAAAAAATTGTAAGTAATTAATCATCTTTATCAGACTATGACTAGACTCTAACCGATGAAACAACGAGAAGTAGACAACAATGTTGAGTTCTTGTTTTTGACTTTACATAGTAGATGAAAAGAGGCTAAATTATGATATACGTTGACTTTTGTCCCATGATGCTGTTTTTCTTCACTGCCGGTGGGTTCTTGATGTATGACTTCCAAGGGTTGGAGTACGTCGAGCTCCACACCGGTGGGTTGTAGATGAAGGGACTGTAGTGGTACACCGGAGCAGGAGCGTGGTAGTATCCATCGCGTCGCCTTAAGTTTCTCTCTGTTGCAGCTTCCGAGGCGCGGACGGATACGATCTTGCCATCCTTGTTCTTCATTAGGTCGCTCTTCGTTAGTCCTCCGGATGTGCAGTGCTTCTTGCCTTTCCAGACAAGAAGCCTCTCCTTCTGCATTTTCTCGCTTTTGCTGACAGCGACCGGCATCTTTTTTGCTCTGCTTGCGTCTAGAAGAAGTAAAGGACTGTAGCAAGTTGTTTTTTGTTCTTCTCTGTGCTTGTTGTAGTACTTCTACTTGAAGGCCGAATGCGGTCGTGTCACCAGATACAACTTTTTCCTACATGATCATCGATGTGATTTCAGGGCGCACAAGCACAACAATTATAACCGAAGAGTTCGAAATAGAGTTGCTGCTGACTTCGGCAAGGGAGTAAATTTGACTTTCGGACAATGGGGTTGCTTGCTAAGGGAGGAGTCGTGAGGATGGTTGCGTGGTGGCGATGTTAAGGACAAGAATGGTGCAGAATTAAGGTGATCTTCATCCACCACCGATGCGAGTACGACTGGGTACAGAAATAAGAGAAGATGCCGATTAATCGACCGAAGTGAAGTACGACAAGGACGACGATTGAGTCCCGACCTTGGTCGAACTACCGATCAAACCGATCACAGATACAAGAAAAGCAATTCCAACATGTTTCCGAAGTCCAAGGAACGAAGGAAGTCCAACACAAAGAGATACTTAATACAGCAATTAGCTGCGTTCTTGCATCTTAGACTTAGTTTCTGCTGTGTTGAATATCTGCTAGTTGCCAGAAAATGTCGAAAGAAAGTTACTGTCTCAACGTCTTCCTGCAGCAACACAAATCAAGACTCAACACATTGATTCGAAAATACGGGGTCACCGCGCAAAAAAATGTTTGAATTTGAGGAACAAGAGGAATTTGATGAAGAATATGATTATCTATTTTCGGATGTTGAAGGAAAACTTTCGAGATACACAACCACGACCAGTTGACTAGTTTTAGTAGTACAATGAATAAACATCAAAGATGACAATCCCAATGTAGACTTTATGTGTCAGAGAAAGTCGGGCTGTCATCAGGCATCCCAAAGTCGAAGATCCTAGTATCTTTGGCACAGTAAAGAACCTGGCTATTACAACTTGTTGGCTCTAGTAGACCTAGAGCGTTCCTGGCGGGAGATATGGAGGAATCATGTGACGACAACTCATGCGAGGACACTGTCGAAGCTTGTTCGTGTTCGCCCACAAGATCTTCTTCAGTTAAGAATCGTATTGACTCGGCCGCGGCGTAGGGTGCTGATGGGTCTTCAAACGATTCTCCTTCAAAAGGGGGCAAGATGATTTGGTCCAACGATACTAACGATGAACTTGCAGTTTCGGGTTCTGTGGTCGATGAGGGAAGAACCAGCGCCGCAGAAGTAGTAGTAGTAGATTCACCGGTTATATTAGGATTCAGAAGATTATCTCCGTCTCGTTCCTCTGGTGCTAATGAGCCATGATCTCCTGGTGAGAGTAGTGTAGGAGACAGCAAACACCTGCTAGTATCACGATCGAAAGTGCCTGATGAAGAGGGAGATGTCAAAGAGTAGGCAGCAGCGTGCGCACCTTCTCTGGGCTCCGCTGTTGGACTCTCGTTTCCTTCGCCAACTTTCTTGTTCGTCAGTTCTCTTGCCTCGACAGCACCTGGACTTTCATTTCCTCCAACTTTCTTGTTCATCAAGGTGTGAAGCTCCCGCTCGTTCGCCGCTAGATCAGCCACAACCTGGACTCTCTCCTCTTCAAGCGCGTCAGCTTCCTCGAATTGGTCATTTCCTATGCATTTCTGTATCCTATCCTCGAGATCCGGGAGAATGGCTCCCTTCGCATCTTCAATCGTCAATTCTAATTCAGCTACGCGAGCTGTTTCCTCGTGATCTAGTTCCGCGGGAGACTCAGAGGTAGCACTAGAAGAGGGTGGATTTTGCTTTCCATCCGCATCTGCTGCGCTGCTGTTTGTATCAGAAGAGGGTGGATTTTGCTTTCCATCAGCATCTGCTGCGCTGCTATTTGTATCTGCAGCTGGCTCAACAGCAGCTCCTTTCTCCGGAGGTTCATCAAGGTCTAGATTTTCCTCCGTACTCGAATGCTTGACTGGCCCAGGTGGTGTTGCAGAGGACGACGAAGCTGCAGTACTAGCACTAGCTTTACCAGCTGCGTCTATTTGCTCTGACCCGTCTCTGCTTTTGTCCCTCTTATTTGCTAAGCTGCCAGGTGTTCTTGTGGCTCCTTGTTGATCATCTTCGTCTCCCTGGTGATCAACAACTGCTTGCTCAGCCTCAGTCGTAGTAGATGAAGAGGTCTTCTTAATACCGGAGGTTCCGTCTTCATCTTCTGGTGTCTCATCCAAAGACACCAGAAGATGCTCGAACTCAGCGTCGTCGTCCTCCTCTACTCCAGAAGGCACTCCTCTAGCTCCAAGTTCCCCTAGATTTATTACCCGCGTCGTAGCACGCACTACTCGTTCCTTTGCTTGCGATATGCTGGTACGTAGCGCGAGCGTAGTTTTACCACCTTCAACATCTTTACCAATACCACCTTGTCCCTTAATCTGGACCAAAGAAAGCGATTGTTCTTGTTCGTGACCCTCTTGATCTTCTTGACCCTCTTGATCTTCTTGACCCTCTTGATGTGTGCTCTCAGGCGAGTCACCAGCTTCTAGAGGAACAGATAGTCCGAGACACTGCCGCTTCACAGCAAGCACGGCTGCAAGATCGCCTGGCTTCTCAAGAAAGGCTGCAAAGAGTTTTTCGACCTCTTCGTCCACCTTATGATCCTTCGTTTTACTAGCGTCTTCTCCGGTCTGCTCTTCCTCCTGACCAAGCAGTACTTTTCGCAAAGAGCCTACGTCTCCACTTGCGGCGGCCAAAGCAGCAACAATTTTCTTACCCAAATATTCCACGTGATTCCGCATAATGGCTAGATCGTGACCTGCGCAACCCTTCATCAAGAATAGGTGTTCTACATCAAACGTCGAAGCCTTCTCTTCACTTGCTTTGGCGTCCTTTTCTGCAGCTCCTGCGTCTTCGCCAGATAGGTCTACTTCCTCTTCTACTTTGCCTTGAGATGAACAAGAAGTTCTTTCTGAAGCTACAAAAAGTTTTTGCAACTGCTCGCCCTCCTCCAGTTTCCGTTCACAGGACAGGTACTCGCACACATCGGCATTGGCTTCCCGCAAACGAGCCGCTTCCTCTACGCCAGTGAGCAGTTCTCGTTCTCGCACCAGTTCCCTCTGCGCTTCAGCGTAGCCTTCTCTTAATTTTTCCAGTCGCACTGCTTCTTCCTCCCGCTTCTTCTCCAAGGCCTTTATTTCCGCTGTCAGACGACCCGCTTCCTTGAAGTTCCTTGCCGCGATCGCGAGTTTTTTTTCGGCCTCTAGTTTTTCCGCTAGAATCGTTGAGGCTGTGGCACCTCCTACCTCTGAAATAGACGAGTCTCCGTTTTGCAACTCTGCTTCGGCGGATTTTACTTGCTCCGCTAAGTTGCGAACGCGATAGCGACAGGCGTCAGCTTCTGCACTCGCCTTTTGGAACAAGGTGTGCGCCTCGTGCGTCGCAGCTTCGAGACGGAGACCTGTGATTATTTGGTCTTGGAGTTGTGCCAGTGAGTATTTCTTAATTGCGGTGCGGTGACAGCTGTTCTCAGGTGAAAGACAAGAGATGAAACACGTCTCACAACACTGAGTAAGGAGGTAGGACAAGAACAACTGACTCACTTCTGTTGCACAAAAAAAAAATAGTACCACGTTCATCCTCTTCATCTTTTTTGTGTCCTCTGCGAAAATCCATCTCTGTCAAGTAGCATTTAACTTCGAGCATGGCCAGTTCCAATTTGCTTTCTTCGGAGTCGAGGTTATCAACTTCAAACTGCTTGCGTTCCCCCACAGTCCTTAATGCGCGTCGATCCGCCTTCAAATCCTCGACAGCCCTCTTCAGACTTTCCACGTCAGTCTGAGTCTCTACACGACTATCCGCGAGTCTGGTGTCAGGTTGTGGGTCAATGTTGGAGTTTATTGAAGCATTGGATACAGATGATCACTTTCCCTCTATTAGTAAATCTATAACGGTCGACGTACCTTTTCTCCGTCTGCTCCATTCGTGCAAATTGTCGACCGAATTTCCCTCGCACTGCGTTGATTCGCATTCTGTTATCCGTTATTTTCGCCTCACATGTCTTCTGTTGCTCTACCAATGTTGCTAACTTCGTTTTCAATTCCTGAATTTCGGACGACAAAGCGGCATTTTCGGTTTCGGCCGCCTCTAGTTCAGTGTCGTAAGCGCCTGTCTGCAGTTCGATTGCCGTATTGATCTCGGCTTTTTCTTCACGCAAATGGGCTAGCTCCCGATGGACGTAGTCGCGGTTCATCTGCACTCGCTTGCGTTCCGCAGCGAGACGTACCGCCTCCGAGGAAATCTTGCTTTCGAGAGTCAGTCTTTGCTGTTCAAAGTACTCCTCCGAATCCGACTTCAAGTGTCGCAGCTTCTTCAAGATAGCCGAAAGAAGACGCTCAAATTCGCGGCCAAGAGCGTCTCGAGCCGAAAAAAGACGCCTGTGAGCCAGGTGACAATATTGGGATAAGTTGGTGGTCACTGAACAAGAGCTTATATTTATTCCTCGAGATAGAAGAACGGAACAGAAAAGTAATTCTTGACATGAATGTTCTTCAAAAAATCTATTCAAAAGCTAACAGAAACATATATCATGGAGAGTATCCTATTTCTATTGCTAGTATTACTCTCTCTCCGCCAGAAACGCTTCGCTGCGATTGTTTCCTAGGTTGCTCACTTCTAGTAATTCCTTCTTTAATGCTTCTATTTGCTCCGTTTTTGCCTCTGCTTCCGCAAATTTCTCAGCCTCACAAAGAGCCAACTGTTCGTCCTCTACTGCCGCAAGTTCCTTCTCAAGCACCGCTACGCGCTCACGAGCCGTCGCCAAGGCTTTTTGTTGTGCCTGGATTTTTTCGAGGTTGGCGCTGTAGCCTTTTTCATGCTGCACTCGAACCTTGTGGAGGACATGCTGTAAACCAGCACAGTTGAAGACGTTGTGGATCTCGTCTTCTAAAGAGGCTGGGGGAGCTACTGGCGTGGTACTTGCAGCGCCTCTTGATGCTGAAGACTGAACGTTCGAAAATGCAGACGCTGAAGCTGACGACGGGCCTGCAGGGGCTTGTTTCAATCCTACGCCAGCTCCAAGGAAGCTAAATGCGCTAGTTGATGGCGCAGAACACGAAGTCGTTGTTGATGCTACATTGGCATTGCCAGAGGTGGTATTCAACATCATGCTAGTATTCATCATCCTTCCAGCACTACTTGGGGCCACAGGTGCACCAAGGGGTGTTCCACCAAGCACAGGCGGTGGTGGTGGCGGTGGTCTCGAGCCTCCACCATCTCCGCCGATTGGCGAAGCTTTCGTCGCAGTGGGGGTTGTTACCTGAGATGCTGGCGCAGTGGTCCCGGCAGAAGTCGTGGCCGCGCCACCTCCTGTTACAGCTCCTCTCAGAAAAGAGAACATCGAAGATACGACGCCGCCACTCTGCTGTGATGTACCATCTTGCTCGCCACTAGAGTTGTTAGCTCGAGCAGGAGGTGCTGGTGAACAAGTTGAAGTATTTGCTCCTTTAGAAGGAGTACGAGTTCCACCTTTTGGGGTAGTTCCTCCACCTCGGCCAGATGTGCTGCTTGTTGTACTAGTAGAAGGCATTTGTGAGCAGGTCTGAGAAGAAGGTACAACATGGTCCAGATGTTCCAGCGCGCCTCCCCTAACGACGTCCCCTGATGGCGAGTCATGACTGAGGGAGGACCTACCACCGGTGTATTGAGGCACTACAGGCGGAGGCGGAGGTGGCACCGGAAGATTTATGTCTCCTCCTACTCCGACGCCTCCTCCACCTGAGTCACTCTGAAAGTCCTCTCCACTAGGCGTCGTCCCTGAGCCTCCACCACCTGCGCCTCGTCCATGTTGTTGTCGTGCCATAAACCCTGGCGCATTCGCTCTCCTTGTCTTCTTACGCTCCCCTCCAGCCGCAAGCATTGCTGGATTGATCTCAACAGCTTCTCGTTCTGGAGGAACGAAAATATGTGACGAACCCGTACTCGCAGCGGCAGGAGAAGTTGGCTGCATTCCAAGATGATGTCCAACTAAATGCCCTGGAGAAGGTGTCGAAAAAAGGCTGCTGCTGGTGGTCGACGTTGCGCCGAAGGACTCTGGTTTTTCTACTTGCACAGCTGCTACAGGAACGACAGGAGGTGCGTTCACATCAGGTGCAGACGAACCACCCGCAGAGGCGAGAAACGAAAATGCAGAGCTTCCGCTTGCTCCGGGCCGAGGACCAGATGGTGCTGGTGCTGCGGGTGCTGGTGCTGTTGAAGTCGCTGGCGTCGTAGCACTGCCAGAAGATGGCGCAGACTTCTTCGCCACATTCAAGCCACTGAAGAGACTCATCTTAATGTAGTTCCTTTTCGAGGAAGCAGAAGAAGTGACACAAGGACAATCTTTTGTTCCCGGTTGTAATCTCCAGATACTTGTGCAGATCAATTATGAAGACGTCTGTGCTGCAGTAGAGCACAAATTTAAGTCTGTCTTCACCTACCTAGTAGTATCAAGATATCCAATGTGACCCATTTTCATCAACGACATCAGCTTCAACAAGGGATGCTCTCCTTCATTAGTAGCTAAGCGTTAGCTAAGCGTTAGCTAAGCGTTCACTTCCTAGTATCCGTTGCCGGCTCAAACACAACTGCGCTTCTCTACATCCCAACGGGCCTGTTCAAGTAAGAAAAATGGTACTGTAGCTACAAGACATTCAAAAAGTAGACAACTCTCGATCCGAATCCCATGCCTCCTTTGGCGCCTCAACCGTCATCATCTGCGCGTCTCTAACAGTATATTGAGTGTGTTGTCAGTCTGGCTTGAAAATTAAAACTGAAAGTTGTATTTCAAATATGTATTTTGTTCTTCTCGACGACGTCAAGAAGTGCGCTCGTGAGCTGAAGGAGAACTAGAAGCTCCTCATTACACAGATTAGAATTCGTTTTCTCGCTTACGCTTAATCAGTCTTCAGGATATGGCAGAACATCGTGCTCTTCATCTTTCGCGTGTCTTGTTACTGTTATCTTTCAGCATTCAACAAGGAATGCTTTGTTATTTCCATCAGCATAAAGGGTAAAGATAAAACGTGCTGGATTGCAATTGCATTTTCTCTTGTTCATTTGTGAGGAGGAGATGGCATTGATTTTCAGTCGTTATCAATCCTTCTGAGTCGTGTGCGTGCTGGGGTCAGCCATGATAGCGATAGGTAAAAAGTACTTGGTAACTTTTAATCTTCGTTTTCATCATGGAAATGGATGTGCTGGTCAGTCAAATGGAAATATCTCCTTCATCATCAAGACCCACCAACCGAAGATGCAATTTTCCTTGTCGTAGATGGCAAACTATTTGTACTTTTAGCTTCACCAAGCTTTTCCTTTTCGCCTTGTAGTTTCTCCGGACCAGGTGCCGCCAATAGGGCATGTGCAGCTAGCAGAGACTCTGGACTGATGCGAGACATGGTGCTGGGCAAGACTGGACCATGCACACCGATTGACCTCCCAGTCTCGCGATTCGCGAAGTCGATGAACAAGGCACAGCACCCACCTGCCTCTTCTTCTATACAAGGGGCAGTGAGAACGCCGATGCCTCTAGTACTTGTTCTGGAGGTTGTTGTTTGCTGCTGCTCCTGATCGTGAAGATTGTTGAAAATACAGACGGTGCGGGCACGCGTGACGGCTTTATGCAACTGTTGGGGTAGGAAGCTGATCATACGATTTCGTTCCTCGAGGTCGTGCAGGTCATGATCATGATCATTTTCCTTCATGATGACGTCGGTTGTAGCAACAGCACCAACAGCTCCAACATGATTGTGGTCTTCACGATGTTCTTTTTCCATTTCGTCCACCCTCATCGGTGTATTCATCGCCTTTTCTTGTTCGTGTGCGACCACAACGCGACTGCGACCACCCTCATGCTGGATACCTAGCAGCGGCAACCTAAAGTCCTCGAGCGCTGCTAGGATACCAGCTGAAAGCACGTCCAAAACACAGCTTCCCGCTTGCTGCACTTCGGCAATAATGCTCACTTTCAACCGGAATCCAGCTCGCAACAGCACGTCACGCAAGCACGTTGCGGCACGAGTCGAGAGACACGATGAAAGCGCAATACTGGACGATGTGGAGCAGCTGGATGAACTGGATGAAAAATCCGAAGTTTTCGTTGTTGACGTTGACGTTCTTGGGCGGGTAGCGAAGATGGCACGACTATTTGTAGTTCTGGTGGATGAGAAAGTACTAGTGGCTGCACCCCTTTTTCCGCCAACAGTCGCATATCGTTGCAACAGTCGTGCACATTGTTCTGCATCGAGAGCGCACGACCCCTTTCCGGTTTTCCTGTCAATCGCTGCGCCAGGCAGAAACACAACCTCTAAGAAGTTCGGCTCTTCTAGGAGCAAGAGATCCGGTCTTGCACCACTAGATCCCGAAGAAGCTGCTGCTCCACCCACTGACGAAGAAGATAATTTGTTGTTGTTGACTACATGTTGATTCTCAACATCTACAACTTTCACAGCCTCCGCATGAACACCAACTATGGCTCTGGTGCCTCCCGTTCGATGGTGCGCCACAAAAGCTGACCCTTGCGCCTGGCTTAAGAAGCCTTTCTGGACGTAGATGCTGGAGTCTGACTCAGTCGCCAGACGGAAGTTCTGAGACAGGCCGCCCCTCAAAAACTCCTGCTCTGCGCTCGAGTAAGACGTCATTTTTGGGACGATGGAAACAACAAGTATGGGAATGAGGAAGTCTACAACACGACGCAGTAGTTGTTAGAAGCAGTAGATGATGGATCAAGCGCGACAAGGTCGTGCCATCGATGTGGTCAAACGCAACCTGCGAAGCCTGTGAAGGTAACAAATCACGTGAGTAGATGAACTCGAACTCGCCGAAGAGCTAATAGTTGTACGGGATCATGCTCATGATCTTCTTCATCATGCGCCACCTTCGGCAGAGAGGATGGACCTCGAGAACTAGAGATCTTCACTTATGAACGCGAACCAGATCGAAAAAAATGTCGATATGAACTGATCTCTTTCATCACGATCGGATACATTCCGACCCTAGGACCTTTCCATTTTTCCTGAGGACCCCCTTTTCAGTTCGTTGTGTGATGAAGATATAATCAGTTTGGTCTGCTGATGATCATGATATTAATTGCATAGCTCCCATACACTTCATTTTTAAATCGAATGGATCAATGTTTTTTGTCAACTTGGAATCTTAATAATGCTCCATCTCAACAACATATGCAGCGTCTTAGTCTGGTTTCAGAACAATAAGTGGTCCTGGTCGGTAGTTGTCATATGGATTTCAAATAGAATTAGAAATACGTAGTTCATCAGCTTCAACAAAGTCATTTTCGCTGTTAGCACAACTTAGCAAGAATAGCACAGCAAGCCCTGGATGAGTAATAGATTGGTGAAGAATATTTTAGTGTTTGTCCCCGTTCCCGATTCATTGTTCTGTACATTCCCAAGAAATACTATGCATGTTCTTGTTAGTGTTATGCAGTAGTACGACGAGAAGAAAAACTAGATCAACATGTAGCAGTGGCTCACTCCGCTACCATCTTGGATGTTGCATTTATTGTAAATGATGACAGACTTCCACTTCTTTTGACATCTCTTTGGGTCGTGAATCAGAGTAGCGAGTTGATGGAACTGCAATGCAGCCTTGATGTTGACTATGTTCATCTACTACTTCTACTCTACTTCTGTCTCAACTTTTAGTACTTTAATTTCTTCAACATGCTCAAACTGTGACTTTTTTGTTGCAAAATGGAAGTGGATCTCACTCCTTGGATTTTACTAGTTGCAGCGTAACCTTTCCTCATTCTCAGAAGTTCTTGTATTACGCACTTATACTCTTACTCTTACAACTAAGCTCCTGCGGCGAAGATATTTTCACCCGACTCCCTGTTACACTTACACGCCCTCCTCCCCCTCTATTTTGCTTTTGGTTTTGGTCCGCTGTAAATGATCATGATCATCTTCTATCAATGTCAATCCTATTCAAAAAAATCTCATTTAGTACGTACTATTTCATTTTCATCTATCATCTCCTTTACGTACTACTACTTTAACTGTCATTGAAAATAACAGAACTACCTTCATTGTTCTTCCACGAAGTAGTAGAAGTACGTCAAACTACACCAGTCGGCGCAGTACTTCCATAGCCTCCGCCTCCATTGCCTGTTACACTGTTTAGCGATGAGCTGCGCGTCGTTGTGCTGGTCGTCGTTCTACTCTGGCTCCCGCTTGCCGTTGGGGCTGGAGACGCAGCTTGCTTAGCGGTTTCCACATCATGTTAATCTGTGAAGACCTAAGTATGTATCGACTGCATATCTGTGCTTTCCACATCATGTTAACCTAAGCTGACCTATCGCCTGCACAATATCTGCTGCATACCATTCCCACTTTTTTCTGATTGGACAGCAGCTCCTAACCACTTCATCAATTTTACAGTGAGTACTAGTACTCTACTGATGCAGACAGGTCATCAACTTACACCAAGTAGAACGCCCCATAAATTGCGATAGAAAGGAATCTGGAGTGCCGGGAACCAGTTTGCTCTCAATGAGCTCCCAGAAAGCATCGGCGCTGTTGTTCACGTGATAGTAACTACGCACCGTGGTCTGGCGACAACGCAACCACATGTAGGCGTAGGGGAATTAGAAAGTTACGAATGAATATTATGTGATTGTCCTTAGTTTTTGAAAAATAAGACTGGCTGCATCAACATTTCTACCTTCATCTTTGTCTTTCCATCTTCTACTAGACTACAACTACACGTACTTACACGCAAGTTAGTTTGATCAAATCAGATCCACTTAGTAGAACAGGACACTAGCACTACGTTAGGATTACAAGGCCGCGGCGAGTGGTCTCTCTCTCTCTCGGTTACGTAATTTCGAGGTAAATAAATTCTTCAAGTCAAATACAGGGTTTCGAACTAGCGGAAGCAGCACTCACTGAAATGAAAACTGACCAGTAGCAGACGCCATACTAGAACGGAATCCCAAATACCGAGAGAATGAAGAGCGTCTTCGTGGTCCGGTTATGCATGAAGTTTGCCCATCGTCGGTTCTTGAATATCGTCACGCGATCGTCGGCTTGCAGCTTCACCTCCACAAGGACGTGCTCGAAACCACCGTAGCCCTTGATTCGCTTCTTGATCTTCGCAACCAACTCCTCGAGGCCGGCCCGGGGTATGAACGAGGTGATGATTTGAACAAGTTCTTGTCCGTTATTATGTACTGCGTGTTGCAGGTATTTGTCTGGATCGATTAGTCAACTTGTTGTAGTTGTATCCCCTGCTCCTGGGAAAAAAGAGCAGAGCAGTGGTGTGTGAGCGTCGGATAGGCAGGGGTGAATAGAGCAGAATAGGTGAACAGAGCTGTGTTTTGTGAGTGACCTCGGATGAGTACTAGGTATATTATAGATACCTGAGAGTGAGGAATAGACTTTTGTAGGTCGTTCAGTATAATTTTTGCAAGGATCATCTTCTGACACCGTGTTGACATAAGCAAGAAGTAGAACACAATGAGCATGACATTCAACCACGACACTAGTATTTACGACCACTGTTGCTCTTATTGCCCCCTTAGAGACATGTAGAAACAACAAGAACAAACCCTAAATCCAACGACATAAATTTTGTTTCCTTTGCTATTACTAGCTGTGACAAGTCGTTGCTTTTTACGTGTAGAAATTTCGAAATCTGCCGAAAGTCAAACTCCGAAATGTCCGCGCTTTTCTCCACAAAGGTAGAAATATCCAAGCCAAATTGAAATGCAGGCTGATCATGGAGGTTTTTAGGAAATGATGGATGAACCCGGATTTTCATCTACTAATTCGATAAATTGAAACTACTTAGCTCCCCGGCCCTCCCGGTGCCAGTGGCGTTTTCATGATTTTAGAGATAGAAAGTGTGATCTAGTATTAAGAACTACTGGCATCTTCAACGACTGAAACGTATAGAGTCACAACCGTAGAAATACCTGCCAACGTCCGCCTCTCCAAAACACACGATGCACATGTGGCGTCTTTTGCCACCCGACAACGAGCAACTGTGCTTTTGTCGGTGCAATATCAAAATCGCTGAGCATACCATCAACGTTAGAAGCATCGCTTACGAGAGGATGGGACCTGGTGAAGGGAATTTCACTTGATGGTGGGTACCGTAGCAGTGGGTACGCAGACGGCGTGGGTAATCTTCAGAGGTGTTATCGTGGTGGGGAAGTAGGTGGTAGGAAGGCTATCAGAAACAGTATGATTTCAAAGAGATGCATGTAGCCAGCTTCATCATACTCGCATCTGTATATTATTTAGAATCATGATGACACTGACACATATTCATCCTTTCAGGGTCAGATCATGAGAAAAATATTTGACTATTAGTCATGAAATATCTCAACACCTGGGATCTGCGTAGTATTTCACCGCTGAGTTGTTCTTGCTCATTCGGTAGACGATAGAAAAGCCGAAAGCCAACGTGACGAAGTAAATGACGCACAGAAGACCCAGGACAGCGAGGTCCTGCACATTCATTCGTTTCACCATAGCTTTCTCGATACGGTGTGTTAGAAGTAGGTGAGCATGAGAGTTACACGTCGAGCACTTACTTACACTTAGTAGAAACAGCGGGTGAGGAACGAAGAAGTGAGACAAAGATATTTTCAGTCACAGGCGAAGACAGCAGCCTCAGACGAAGTCGATTTAAATCATTCTCATTCTAGAGTAGAGGTAGACGTAGACCACGACTCCTGAGATACTTGTGCATCAACTGCTAAACTCTAGTCCTCAACATAACAATGCTTGCAATTGGCGAACACTGATCCCTTGGCCGGCCCGTATTTGCAGTTCATGTCCATTCAGTGTGCGAGCCCCAGTCCCACTTGCTAGCATGTAAAACGATTCCCACCAGCTGCGCTGTTGGTCCAAGGCGTCTAAGACCTGAAATTTTTGAAGTAGTTCATCCTAGCAATGAGGCACGAGCACGATGCACTTCCTCATTATACTATTCAGAAATACTTATTCAAGATCCTAATGGGCCGCTACGATGATGTAGTATGAATGTTCACTTCTAAAAAATACAAATCGAAATTTTGCTTTCCATAGTTTTGGAAAAAAATACCAATTTTGCTTTCCACAGAGGAACCTCACCCGGTTCGAGGACAATGGGCTCTAGCCCTCCAGTCTTTGCGCGTGCGGTGGAAATTGTGATCAAGCCATTTTCATTCGGTTCGGGTAGATCCAACACGTCTTCATCTCTCGGTAATCGTGGTCCAACGTCAGAATTAGAAAAACTTCTTGTTCGGAAAAGAGTACTACTCTTAATAAGGAATGAGAATTTTTAGGTGAACAACTACTACTTCGGAAAAACAAAGAGTACTCACTACTACGAGTCCAAGTACTACTACTAGCTACTCTTAATAAGGGATAGAGAATATGAACGTTAAAGAGGAACTTCTAATCGATAGCTAATCAAAGCCAACGGAAAATAAGACGAGTACTAGCAGGTGGACCTTCGAGAAGTAGAAAAAAAAATGTGATTATGCAGTCGTGAATGAACTTCGTTTAACCAGAAAATAACCAAATGATACAACAAGAACATGTTCGTGCCTTAAAGTCAGGGTCCAAAGGTGGGGAGGTGAACTTCTTTTTCTTCGTTTCTCCTTCTCCACCAGTTGAGGCCTTGTTTTTCTCCCCACCATCGGCTCCTTTGCTTGTCGCCTCCACCGCACCATTTGCATCCTTAGCACCATTGGTGGATGTTGATGAAGCGGGGGAATCCTGCTTGTTATTACCTGCTGCGTTATTGCCCGATGATGCTGGTGTAGTTGCAGCCTTGGATGAAGATGTTTCCGCTCCAGCTGACGGTGTTGTTCCACTTGCTGCAACAGTAGTGTCCTCAGTACTAGAGGAACCTACAGGCTTGGATGTAGCGGGTGCGACTGCAGGCTTGGATGAATCACAACTGCCAGTAGCAGCGCAACTACCACCGGATGACGATGAGGTGTCTTGTTGAGCGTTCGTGACTTGGGGAGCGTTTGTAGCTTGTTGAGCGTTCGTTCCAGCCACAGGAGGTAAGCGATTTGCCTGCGCTTGCGGGAGTTCATCCTTTCCTCTACGACCAAGACCACGAGCAGCACCAGGAGAAGATGTTCCTCCACTCAAACCAGATGTTGACGTAACAAGACCAACTTGTCCTGCTTCTGCCTGCTTCTGCACTACACCAGAACCAGGTGGAGCAACATTCGAGGAACTGCTCGAGGACGTCGACGTAGTAGCCTGGAGGTGTTGTTGTACATTAGCAGGACTTGCGACTGTTTCTAGAAATTCCGCATTTTTCTGTCGTCCTTCTCCTGCTGCTGCTGCTTCGTGTTGTGCTAATGCACCGAAAAAAAAATCGTGTTGGGAAGTAGAGGCGCATAACAGTAGACGAGTTGCCCGTGATGTCCTGACAGTTGTTCTGCTTCTGCCCCAGCGACCTTGGCGGTCTTGGAATCTTGAAGAGACGAGGACCATGATGTTGTGATTTTCTTGTTCTTGGTCGTCTAGTTGTATTGTTTTTTGAGACAACTGGCCTTGAAGGCGGAGAATGGTGCAGCTCATTCAAGGCTGGTATTAAGCCAGACTTGGATGATAAAATGAAAATTGCAATAAGTCCTACGTCGAAGATTATTTGTCGTGACTGTGCTCCCGGCTAGAGCAGAAGTAGTACACCAATAATCGCTACAATCAGTGGAGTTCAACAGGGTCGGTAGATGGAGTTCAACAGGGTCGGTAGTTGTAGCTACTTGTCTTCCTCATTTACAACCGAGGACTACAAGTAGCGACCGATCTTCATTTGCAGACCGAAGATCACACCGAAGATGATGATGAGCACCAGAAAAATGTGAAGAATAAACCGATTAGCATGATGATCACAAGCATGGACCGACGGAGGTGATATGGAGTATCTATTAGATCATAGAAGCACTAGGCATCAATTTTTAGAGCTTCTTCCTCACCGACTTTACTTCTTCCGCAACGATTTACAACATCCAAGGTGGAAATGGTTGTGTGCCTTCAAAAATTTATTTTCATGCATGTTGTTCTAGTTCTTCAATAGAGTCTTGGGTTTGTTGCTATCTTGCTGATGTTGATCTTCTTGATATTCTTTGTTCAGAGACATTTAGACTCTTTCTTGGTGAAGCTGAAGTTTTTACAATGGGTTGTGTTCCTATTATAGGTGATGCTCGGTAGATAGACTTGGGTTTTGTACAGGTTTCTTCAGGGAGGGTTTTAATTTCGCGGTGGTCATCGAGCTGGTGCTGAGAGGCCAGAGAAAATAATATCTTCTACCTTTGTTTCTTCATTGAGATTTTTGAGAAGTCCCACTACCGTGGTGGTTTAATAACCGTCGTGAGAAACTCTATTCGTGGTGACTGATGTGGGTCGTGTGGGTGTGAAATAAAATAGATATAATTCTACTTCGTTCTTAGTACTTCTAGTTACTTGCACTTCCTTGTTCTTGTTCTGATTTACTTGATCAGCATTCAAATATCTACAACTCTATGATCATCATCGACTTGCATGTAGTTCTTGTGTGAATGTCATCGATTGTTATTGTCTAACAGTTGTGAATAGTGAATGTTGATATTCAAAATTTAATTTCAAGCTTTATCGTAGTAGTAGCATTTTTAACTTTATCGTGACCGTCGTTGTGATTTGTGATATTTGTTGATGTTGAATGAGCAATTTGATAAATTTCATCTAAGTACTTGAGAATGACAAACATGATCAGACACAGACTTATCGGTGTTTCCTTTTAGCATAATTATTTTCTTTTTTCTTAGACTCAAGATCAAGTAGAACAACTTCCAACGTGTAACTGTCTAACTCTAAGTTAGATCCATCCTATTCCTATCCTATCCTATCTATCTCCATATCTTCCAGCCCTTCTACTCCTCCCCTTTTTAATATCACCAAATACTCCAACCCTGGGCCCCTCTTCCCCCTACTTAGTTGTTTCCATTTCCAAGGATCCGCGCTATAACAGATCTTGTAAACACCTAGACTCCCCTCCTCCTATCTTCTTAGAGCTGCGCAGCACAGTTGAATTCATATGAATGAATGAAGGAATGTGCCTAGCATGAGGTGGTGCAGTGAGTTTTTATGTCGCCCATCCCTATCTTATCAGGATTCCTCTACTCCAACTCAGGAACCTGCGAAGGACGGACAAGAAGGACCTCTCTGAAAATGAATTATCACAGGCATTAAAAATGCTCAGTTTTCAGTGTCGGGACAGATGCATGCCCCGTCTGCGCCGCTCTCAGTGCTGGACACCGTTCCTGGGGGACCCCCATCCTCGCGCTCACGGTCCTCCGTTGTTCCACATTAGAAGAGGCTCTTAAGCTTTCAAGAAGCATACTTCAACAAGTACTACTGGCGTTTCTACATCTGATTTCTCGCATAGATGTACTTACAACATATTGATATTCATTAATAATAAAGAAGGAACAACTTCCTTAGAGCGTCGCCTTTACTCCTCACGACGAGGTTGCCAAGTTCAAGTTGTGTGCCTTCGTCTCACTCTCTTCTTATTGGTGAATCAAAAGGCGTAGATGAACAAGATATTGATGCTCAGAATAGACAGAGAGTTATATCTATTTAGATATGCATAGGCCAACTTAAACTTTGAACAACAACAGAAAGCCGTAACCTTCATCCTTGCCGTCATCATGCTGCACCTCGAGTAGACAGAGACACGATTTGTTTTTCCCTTCCTTCTCGTCTGCCGTCGTCGAGGATGTTGCGTTAGAAGGTCTAGATCATAAATGATGTGTCATTGAAGATGTTGAAGAAGATGTTCTACTCAATATATCGTCGTGCTTAAGCATATTTTCATGGTCATCGTCATCCTCAGTGATCGGACTATCTTGTACTTAACATGATTGAGTATTCATCTCCTAGTAGAATCTTGATCTTCTTCGATCTTCATCAGTAAAAGTGGTGCAGTTCTTGTCCTAGGACGGTTGAGAGGAGGGACTCTCGTCAAGCTTAAGTAGAGCAGGAACTGAAAACACATTATGATACTAGATACAGTTCCTTGATGTTCCAGAAAGTATGATACAGTTACAACAAAAAGAGAAAAGAAATTTTTTTACAATTTTACGCAATTCGAATCATCCTGAAGCCTTAAGTTGGTTCTTTGGAGAAGAGGTTGCGGCACCAGGTTGCTCTAGCTGTGCCTTCGGCTGACCCTTTGGATCGGTGGTCACAGCAGCAGCGTTTGTCGGATCGGTTGAGGCGACTGGTGCCTGGCTGCTGCCAGACGCATCTTGCGCTGGGACTGTACGGTCAGCAGAGACCTCAGGAGAGGTGCCAGTTGCAGCATGAGCAGCTGCACGAAAAACATTATCACGACCACTGTTGGCATCAGCAGCAGGAGGTGCACCACCGGTCGCGCCGGCTGGGGCGACAGCAGGTGTCTGGACGCCGTCAGCAGACCTTTCAGCAGAGACAACTTGTGACTCACTGGTACCAGGGGCAGGAAGCGTATCACTAGGTCCGACAGCACCAGATGAAGATGCACCACCTGAAGTCGTGACGCCTGAGGCAACATCTGCTCGGTCGCCAGCAGACCCGCCTTGTTCAGCAGTAGAGACCGCCTGAGGCTGTGACAGACTGGTAGCGACAGCAGGTGGAGGAGACGGGCCATCAGAAAGCGCCGCGACAGCGGGAACAACTGCAGATGTTGCGTCAGCCACCGGGTCAGCGGCGTCCGTAGCTGGTGCTCCTCCTTCACCGTAAGCCTCCGTCGCGCCTTCAGGGGGGTTGCTAGTAGCTGCAGGTTTGGCGCGGATTCCAGACGCCGCTGCACCGTCCTCACTAGGTGACGGCTGTGCCTGGTTCCCTTCTGGAGCAGGAGGCGGGGCCACCGAATCCGGCTTCACAGTCGCAGCCGCTGCAGCAGCTAGCTGTTCGCTGCCCTCGTTGTTGCCCTCTGCGCCTGCGGAGACCGCAGCTTCGCTAGGGTCAGCTGGCTGGTCTTGGGTCTCATCCGCAGCAGCAGCCGGCTGCGGGAGATAGTTAAAAGCATCACTGGTACCGTCAGGGTCGTCGTCGTCGTCGATAATATTAAGGTCAGGGTCATCTTCATCTACTTCTCCGGCATCTGTAGGTGTGTTATGAATCACGATGTTGAACAACATGAACAAGATCATGGTTATGGTGATTTGACTGATGATCACTACATGTGATTTCTCAAATTTTCTTTTTCGACAAGCAGAACAATACCAGTAGAAAAAGAAAGGTAACCTAGAAAATCAAGATCAAACTTCTGAAACTGAATTTTCTCACAGGAGGAGGTTGAAGATCATTATTTTGTTCGTGCTTGCAGTTGTAACTCTAGAAGATTGATTGGACATATTCATACACATTTCTGTTGGTCATGTATGGTTCAAGCCTCTCGGATGTCGTGTTGTTCTGTTCTCAGTGGCTCACGCAAAGCCTCGTGCTCGACTGTCATCGGGATGATCTCACAAGACATGAATGTCAATGATCATGAATGCTACTTCCAATGCACATTCAATGCACAGTCAATGCATAATCATAATGATCAAGGCGTAGACTAGGTACGGCTGTGCTGATCCTAGTCATATGATGCATGTTCAGTCCGATCCCTTCTGACATGCTTATGCTGCTGATGTGTGATTCATCTCACCCAATGAACCAAACAGGGACTACACCAGCCAGAGATCGCAAGTCTCAGGCAGGAGTATCAAGATTTGCTTGCATTCAAGATTCTGACTTTGTGTTTCCACTGAGAAACGAACCAAGGCGCGGAGGCCTGTGCTCTTGTGGTCCAACACTGGTCTAACCCTTGAGCGGCAAAAGTAAAACAAAATTGGAAGTAGTGTAGTACAATAAACAAATCCATCAAAACGCCCTGCGAGGCCAAGGAGATCCCCAAGAAGTTGGGACAGACGTCCGACTGGCGCGAGTGGCAACGAGCCGTACGTCAAGAAGCTAGTCGCCTAGGCTTACTTGAGAACTACACGAATGTAGTCAACGTGCCGGCCGTTCCACATGGTGCACCGCAAGGTAATACCAGTCGCGAAGACGCGATCCGCCAGAAGTGGCGCAACCTGAAAGACGTAATCATGCGAAGTCTGAAAGGTGCGGCCAAGTCGTTCGTCGACAATCAGAATAACGATGGCGCGGTGGACGAAATGGATGCTGGTGAAGTTGTTGCTCTACTTCGTGAACAAGGGAACTTCAACGCGAACAATCGCCAGGAGCAGCGCACGAAGGTCAAGCCGTTGTCGGAGGGACTGACGAAGTTCCACAACAGCGACCAGCCTGCAGACGTCAAGGAGTTCCTCTCAAAGATCCGCGACATCATGAACCAATCGCCCACCGTCTTCCCGCCGGATGCAGATCTGCCCGAAGCTGATCAACAGAACGGAGCGATCCTGCTGAAGTTGCCCGATTTGTTCTGCAAGAACTTCAAAGCGACTATCGAGCGGATGCAAGAAGAAGATGGCCTGACATTTGACCAAATTGGAGACCGACTTGAGAAACGTCTCACAACGTTGATCGAGGAGGGAACCTACAAAATTGAGAACGACTCCTTCGGGAAAGCGTTTCCGGTCAATGTTCAGGAAACCTCGAACAAGCGCCCTCGCGATGATGAGAACGAGGATGATGACGAGGCAGAGGCCAAACAATAAGGCAGATGGTAAGACCTTCACTTCCGCTAACGCCCTCAAGCGTTTCAAGCAGAAAGAAAAGAAGAAGGCAATCGCCGAGGTCTACAACTCCTACGGGTACCAACCCAAAGGAGGAAAGAACGGCGGACAAAAGCCGAAGAAAGATAAAGGAAAAGGAAATAAGAATACCTATCCACCCCGCTGTGCTTGCTGCCACAAGGTCGGACACAAGTCCTCCGAGTGCTGGCATAACACACGAGCCCTTCAACAGGGACAGGGAAGTTGGACTACCGGAGCCTCATCTAGTAGTTCTAGAGGCAAAGGCGGAAAGGGTAATAGCAGTGGCATGATCCACATGTCGCAGGTTGCGGAGATGCTCAACGTCATGAACTCGCACAATCGAAGCTGAGCGACGGAACCGTACGAATTTGGGAAGTGTTCGCTGAATTTCGAAGAAGATGAAATAGCGACAAATGTTGTTAGTCATGCTGATAGCTACAATACAGATGGATATAGTTTCACGACCTTGAATACTAGAACAACAGAAGACGCAACGCTAGTGGATAGTTGTGCAAACAGATATCTTTCACGACACAGAGACGATTTCGATGAAATTGGTAACAACATTTGTAGAATAACAGGTAGCGCAGGCACTAAGGACGAAAAAGTCGGAAAACTCAAGAACAACACACTTGGAATAAAGAATGGGGCTTGCTATGATTCTCTACCTGGAAACATAGATCGCATATTGCCACGGTTAGGAGACAGAAACTGCTCGCAATTAAGGTGGGAGCTCAACTTCAAAGGCACTGGCGGTTGTATCGTGCACACGGACACCAGCCAGATGCTACCCATCAGAGCTCACCCACGCCTGCAGTTACCCGCACTCGCATGCAGTTTCTTTGAAAACAAACACGAAAGCGGCTTCGCTTGTGCATCCTCTAGTTGCTATCTTACGAGATTAGAACTACACAAGAGGTGTGGCCATTTTCACATAGATGGTCTACAAGTTAGCTGTCCAGAATGTGACCTACATAAAAGACAACGAAAATCCCACGCAAACTCTAGAGACGTGACTACCTACAAGCCCGAACCTCTCAAACTACTTGCAATAGACTTTGCTGTAGGAATAAAACCTGTTTCAGTAAGATCTATGATTTTTCTAGTTGTCATATGTGACGCAATTAGAGAGGCGCTTTGTCGACCGCTGAAGCTTACAAGTGACTGTGTGGAGGAAATAGAACAAGTCATAAAAGGCATTCGACAAGACTACTCCTTATCGCTAGATGACAAGGTAGCACGGTTCATCCGGAGGGATGGAGAACCAGTCCTCGGCAGTGATGACATGACCAAACTCATGCAATCGCTGCGGGTCTCAGACAGTCCGGCTGTTCCTTATAATCCGGAAATGAATGGGACTGCTGAACGTTTTATGCGGGCCTTGTTTGGCAGCGTGAGAACAATGCTAACGAAATGTGGTCGACGTCTTTGGTGTTACTGTGTTGAGTACGCTAGTGACTGCTGGGATCGTCTTCCGCATAATTACGCCAAAATGCCAGAACACGATGGAAAGAGTCCAACTCAATAGAGATTCTTGAAGAAAGAACTGGTAGAAATTCTTCCAAAAGCAAAATCGGCATGCTCCGCCGATTTGGTTGTCTTGTTTACTTTCGTGAACAAATTCAAGCCAACGCTCCTGAATCCAAGCTCTCGGCCAAATATCGCCGTGGCGTCTTCCTTGGACTCTGTCCGAAGTCGTCTGGTTGGTTGGTTGCTACTTTCGCTCATGACGATCGTTGCAAGCTTGGACATCGATGGGCGGAATACTCTACCCTAGACGTCAAGTTCAGAGAGGATTATCTAATAAAGGACATAGACTGGCTAACGCCAGATAGAAAGGGCTTTTACTATGAGTGCGATGAACTGGAAAACTTGCAGCGTGGAGCGTCGTCGCTGGGCTCCCCCTTGATTGGGCAGTCAGTGCAAAGCCAAGGCTGGATCAGCAATCGGGGTCCTCTGGCACGGAGCGCGCCTCAGGTGGACCGACCGGCATTCCCGAAGAACTATATGCTGAAACCTTAGACAAGAAGGCTGAATCCGACGTGGCTGACTCTTCTGAAGGTGCTTCAATTGAGGAGGGGAAAGTTGAAACGAAGGACCGAGTCTCTGACTCACCTAGTCCGACTAGATCGAAAGCGCTATCTCCCGCGCGTGTTGTGGCAGGCGAACGCCATACACACGGCAAGAAGCGTGGCCGACCGAAAGGAGCCAAGGTAGGACAAGGCTGGAGGAAGGATTCGTAGAACAAAGAAACAGATGGAAGAACTCAGAAAGGGTTTGGCGCTGTTCGCAAGTGCTATCGGTGGCACGTGTGAGATAGACGAAGATGAGGAAGTCGTCGAGTCACGTGTGATACTGTCCGTTGCCAATGCAATAAAGAGTCCTGAAGCTGAAAAGTGGAAGGAAGTCATTGACATTGAGCACGCGAGACTACTAGCCTTTAAAACGTGGGAGGAAGCTACTGGCGAGCAGCTAGCAACCGCGTTGCGGGCTCTACCGATTGCCATCATACTAAGAAGAAAGAGATGTGGAAAATACAAGGCAAGAGCCTGCGTACTCGGTAATTTAGATCGTTCGGGAGAGCTAAAAACCTTTGCTCCCGTGGTATCACATGCCGCTAATAGGTTGCTCCTCACTTCTGCTGCGTCAGAGGGGGACTATGTGATCCCGTTCGATTTAGATTCAGCGTTCCTCAATGCCGAACTCGATCGAGATGTCTACTGCCGTCTTCCACCCATCTGGGCGAAACAGCATGGATACGAGATCGCGAAGCTCAAGAGAGCTCTATACGGCTTGAAGGACGCACCACGAGCATGGTTCAAGAGGTATCACGAGACTCTAGCCAGTCTTGGTTGGGAGCCGTGTACTTCTGCGCCTGGATTGTGGCGCAAACCGAGCAGCAAAGCACCGGGGAAGTTCCTGAAGATGTCTGTCTATGTAGATGACAATCTTGCTACAAGTCCTGACCTAGATGAGCTCAAGACCGAACTAGGCCTCATTTTCACACGTGCTCCAGGCCGTGCGATTGAAGTCGAGCCAATTCTAACCCCCTGGGGTCTCGAATGGCTAAAGTTCGACTTCTTAGGTGCGATCGTGTACTATGGCCGTGAAGCTAAGTCGTTCAGACTGTGCATGGAGCAGCACATCGATAAAATTGCTAAGAAGTACGAGGCTCAACTAGGGAAACCGGTTTACTCGCCCAATTTTGACGAAACAACTTTTCCTGAAGACAAGATCAAGATAGTTGATGGGTATCCCTTTCGTGAGGTAGTTGGTGCCTTACTATGGGTAGCTGTAACCGCGCGCCCGGATATCTCTGCTCCGGTAGCAGCGCTGGCTAGACATGTCAGTAAACCCACGCCAACAAGAATGGCCAAAGCAGCCAAGAAAGTCCTAAAATGCCTGGTGTCAACAAAAGACAAAGGAGTAGAATACCCACCAGAAAAGGAAGAAGAATTCAACAAAATATATGAGAAACTTCTACCAGAAGGCAGAGACATGCCAGAGGTAAACATATTCAGTGATGCTGGTTTCGCCAACTGCATCAAAACCATGAGAAGCGCAAGTGGCTCCATAATGTATTACAAAGGTACGCCCATAGCGTGGAGGAGTAACCGACAAACGGTTAGAGCCTACGCAACGGCTGAAAGTGAGTATATTGCAGCTTCTGACACGATAGTGCTCAGTGAGGTGCATGACTTCACAGACCTCTACAAGCCTCTTCCAACCCAGTTGGTACACACACAGAACGGCTTGCCTCCCTCCTTAGACAATGGGTGCTGCATTGTGGATAGACAACCAGTCTGCGACCACAACAGCCAAAGCAACAGACACCCGCCCTAAAAGTAGACACTATGCTTTACGTTATCTAAGAGTGCGCGACGCTGCTAGTAAGGTCGTGCTCTGTCCTACCAACCTGATGAAGGCAGGCCCACTTTCGAAACTAACCTGCAGTGCCACCCAGCGTAGACTTATCCTACACCACGTAGATAACCCGATAACTACAAGTAGAGAAGATGACTGCGATTCCTCTGATGACGAAACAGATGAGGATGATTTAGCTTACTATAGCGCAATATATTCGGTTTATTTTGGTTTCTAAACCACCGTAGCCAGGTCACATACACTAAACAAGAGACGCGGTTGCCGTGACTCAACACACAGCGAGGCGGTCACGTGAGACGGACTTCGACCCGCATCGATTGAGGAGGGGCGTTGGTCATGTATGGCTCAAGCCTCTCGGATGTCGTGTCGTTCTGTTCTCAGTGGCTCACACAAAGCCTCGCGCTCGACTGTCATCGGGATGATCTCGCAAAGCATGAATGTCAATGATCATGGATGCTACTTCCAATGCACATTCAATGCGCAATCAATGCATAATCATAATGGTCAAGGCGTAGACTAGGCACGGCTGTGCTGATCCTAGTCATATGATGCACGTTCAGTCCGATCCCTTCTGACATGCTTACGCTGCTGATGTATGATTCATCTCACCCAATGAACCAAACAGGGATTACACCAGCCAGAGATCGCAAGTCTCAGGCAGGAGTATCAAGATTTGCTTGCATTCAAGATTCTGACTTTGTGTTTCCACTGAGAAACGAACCAAGGCACGGAGGCCTGTGTTCTTGTGGTCCAACAATTTCAATTCCCTGTCATAATGATTATAAATATTTATTAATTGGTGCGAATACGTGGCCCTCCAGGACTATTGCCTCCCGGGCTAAATGGGGATTGTGCAGCGTCTCCTTCTCTCGGCTCGTCCGCTGATAAATCTTCTGACACAGATTGTCCAGGTCGTCGTCGGGTTTTCGCGGATACCTGTTGTCCTCCATCTCCTGCACTATCCAGGAGGCCCGAGACAACTTCAACTCCATCAGGTGGCGGAGTACCATGTGGACGGCGCACTGGTCGAACTGGTCGAACTGCTCCTGTACCAGTCGACAGAGACACAAACGTTGAATATCTTGCTGCCCCTCGTAGACGCGGTCTCCTCCTTGTTGTTCCATCAGTAGATTCAGAGCTACCAGTAGAGCTACTTCCAGTGCGACTAGTTTGATTCCCGTAGAAAAACGATGTCGAAGCCTCGGCAAAAGACGAGGCGGCAGTGCCGTTTTCGCCCACATCAACAGTTTGTGAGTCATCAATGATGTTACGATTAGAGCTACTTCCAGTTCCGGTGTGCTCGCAACGCTGGCTACAACATCGCCAGTTGTCGTCCTTGGCTTCTTTTATATAATACTTACAGATACTAATACTTACATATACTTACTCATACATACATCATAGCTTGTGGATGCAGAAACCCGTAGTGGTAAGGGTAACGACCCTATACCTAGTGGTAAGGAGGGTAACGACGAAGATGAACTGCTTACTTATAAATATTATACCTTAAAATAAACTTACCACTAGTTTTCATACATCATACCAAGTAAATGAAGTCCGAGGACGAATAGACGTTAAGCTTGAGCATGCATTCGTGACCTTAATACGAGGCGCAAGCCGCTTTTCCCTTGTGACATCTAACGCAAGAACTAGCACTGGTCCATCGAGGATAAGTAGGACAAACAATCCCACTAACGTGCTCGTGCGCATTATTTCCATCATCTTGTTGTTGGTTCTTCTTCTTCAAGAACTATATTTTTGTTGCTATAATTGATCATTACCGAAGGCTGGTGGCTGGACGACCATAAAAAATGATACCCTCGGCAATCAATGCTAATATTGATTCATGATAACTTGTCTTGTCATGTGTGTGGTTTCCTCGTTGTTCATGAACATAATTGAACTGGATCAATACTGTTGTGGTTGGCAATGAAGATGTATAAACATGGACGATTTTTTCCTTGATGCCTTGTAGAAGAAATTAATGCGATGTCAGTCTATTCGCATTCTTGTTCGCAACCAGTAGTACTACTTTTTTCTTAAATGATAGATAGCTGTATCTATGTTTGACTCATGAGGCATGATGAAAAAAATTCAAAACAAATTATTTAGCATACCTATCATCTTCATTCATATATGGTCTCTTGTTCGTGGATGATCCTCATGAACATACAATACAACACAATACAATGCATCTCGCACAAAATCAAAAAGTTAGCGCACGATGCTGCGTCTGTTAAGTTCATCTAAGATACGGGAAAAATCTTTTGGAGGTTGGTGGGAGGCACGAGAGGAGTGTAAGTGGACGAGTCAAGTGATAAGGATATGGAGGGTGTGGGATATCAAGGAGTTCTCGTTTATCAGAATCTCCATCCAAAGATCACTAAGAGCAGACTTTTGCCGATACTTGAAGCCAACGCCAGATAGACAAAGTAAACTCCTGACAGACTTTAATCAGACCGAATAAAAATTCTCGTCAAGAAACTTGATGAAATTGCATCACCAGCATGGTAGTAGTATATCCATATCTGTGATCATGGTCTCACTCTTTGTTTTTCAACCGAGCAAATTTTATTGCTTTGAAGTAAGTAAATGGCTTCACCACAACCTTCCGGCCAACATTTCTTGTCACAGACGAAACTACAGATGTATTTTTATCACTTGGTGGAGGGGGACCACGACTGACGACATTCCCGTTTGATTCTACTACTTCAAACCGAATCTTGATACTTGATGTCCAGCACAAAAGTAGTTTGGGAGCACGTGGGTCTTGGGCGCGAGGACGAGGAGGGACAGGCATAGTGAGGATCTTTTGACTCGTACATGATCGTCCACATGAGCATTAGGATAGAATAGGAATGAACTTACCTTCTGCTGCAGGGTAAGCCTGTGCCACAACACTCGTCTGCTGGTGAAACGTATTCGAAATCTTAAAAGAACCGAGTTAGTGACTGAAGTAAAAGAGTAGGATTAGGATTAGGAGTTGGCTCGCCGTCCACAGTTTGACCTGTATCCACTACGTTGCTCTTCTTTCGGTAATATCTCTATTATTGTAAGTAGCTACTCGGCTATTTCACTTTTTCGAATACATTGAAGACACCTTTGGGACTGACTTCTTCTTCCATGCAACTGCGTCTGAAGAGCAGCTCGAATTCGAAGATGTTTACTTATTTCCGTACCCCATTCCGACGACACGAGGATGGATACCAGCTCCTTCCGCTTCCCATCTACTTCTAAGCCATGACAATGACTCACTTGGAGGGTCAAAAATCGACTAACAGCACATCATATAACGAGAAGGTCCTACATATTAGGAGCTATGTCAGAGAATCCAACACCAGCGTCAGGAACAGCGCTGAACTACACGACCGACTTCTATACAACGATTGAAAACAGAATATTAATACCAATACAACATAGTAAATATGGAGCAGAAATTACTTAAACATATATACTTTTTGAAGTTTCTGATTCTCCATGAGCAGAAATAAAATGCATGCTGGGACAAAATAAATGCCTTTTTTGCAAATCCAAAGAACTCCGTACGGATCACATAGATTTAAATTGAATCAATCAAAAAGGAATAAAATCAAAATTTCTGGTATTCTGTGAATCATTGTGAAGGGTATCACTTCACAAATGAGAATCAGTGCTCATGTGCTTTTAGGATTCGAAATTGAATTAAAAAGGAATAAAATCAAAATTTCTGGTATTCTGTCAATCATTGTGAAGGGTATCACTTCACACGTGAGAATCAGTGCTCATGTGCTTTTAGGATTCGCAATTGAATTAAAAACGAATAAAATCAAAATTTTTTAGGAATCTTACCAAATGCCTACTTATTTGTCATCATACGGCAAAAAATTGAGTTGAGAAATTCAAATTGAATTGCAAAGTTTAAACTGAATTAAAAACGAATAAAATTAAAATTTTGAAAGAAGTCACTCTACGAAGAAGATTTTGTTATGATTGAGAAAACTAATGCTCAGTCGTCTTTCAGTGTGCCTATCTAAATTGCAGTAGGAGATAGATTCTGTATCATATTGAAATAGTTTTTATGTATTTTCAAGCTGCTACAGTGTTGCAGAATTTTGAAAACAGAATGACTTGAACGTGTCTGCAGACTCAAGCACCTTTAGCAGCCGTTCAGTGACTGCTGGACGAGTATATAGCGCCCTTTGGTGTTTGGTATGTGATACTGGGAACACTGTTGGTCACAAGGGAGGGAAAAATCTCCCAGAGAAGTCACTCACAATCGCGTGAGTAATGCTGAAAAAGTCAATAGCTGTAAGTCAAAACCTGAAGGTTGGGTTTGAGAAGTTGTTGTTTGTCTTCAGGAGATAGTGCTTTCATGTTTGATCATTCAAGCTCTTCTCTTTCTTCTTGTCCGTCGTTCGAAGTGTTCTTCTCACTAGTACCATCCAAACCTTCTCTGAACCACTCAAGTAGATCATCACGATTTGCAACACTCTCCCTCCCGGGTGATTTCAATTCTTGCTTGAGTTTGAAGTTCTCTACTCAGATCCTTACTTCACTGATTTCTTCGTTATCTAACTATCAATACCCCGGGGAGAGAGAAGTGCTGAAGTATAGGAGCTTCAAAGAAACTTCAAGAAAGAGGAATTGATCTAAGGGAGCTTCTTACTCAATATGATTGGGGTAGTAGGGAGTATGAAAGTTTTGTGTAGTTCTTCTAGTATATTTTTGTGATATTATTTACTTACCTACTAAAACGACTAGTGAGGAGAAGTGTTCTGTCTATTTCTACTACTGTTGTTTTGATGGGAAAGGTAAGACTTCTGTTCTGAAAAAGAAAGGATGGATGTAATTTGAGTTGGTATTATTACTGATCTTGAGGATGGTAGTAGTTATCACTGTTAACTAATTCTGCTTGTTATTGCTGTCCGTTTTTTCTATCCTCCATTCTTCTTCTCTTCGACAGTCAGCCTCCACGTCTTGAGACCGGTTCCCACGAGAGGACCAGAAAAAGGAAACCCCTGAAAGACCCACTATCCTGAAAGGCGCAGATCTTTCAATTGTCTCTTTCCCAGCTATACTCTCTCCAGTAGAACTTTACCCCACCTGCGGTCTTACTCTTCTTGTCGCCCTTGAACATTGTTTGCCAGTGGCCCTCCTCCATAATCCTGATCAAAGACTGATGCTTTTCGGAGTCTTTCGCTATTTTTTTCGTCGCAACATCGCACGGATTCGCTACATCGGTGATGAATCCAATTCCCAGATCTTCCCTTTCTCTATCCTGTTTAATAATGCAGATGTTCTTGAAGTCACGAGTCGCGTCAATGGAGGCCCTGCGGTTGATTCGTTTAATAAGGCCGTCATTATCTGATCCCCAGCAGAGCCGTTTATGAATCCCGAGATGAGCGAAGACTTCCCTCCTAAACACCCCTAGAGGTATGTGCTGTCCTGCGGATTCCGCTTCGGCTCCATAGCTTGACGAGCATTTGGCTGAGGATTGATGTAGCTGCCAGTCGATCAAGGTAGCGGGATAGCCATCCTCTGTGGGGTGGTCCACGTCTACTAACATAACCAGGCACGCGATTAGGGGCATCAGTTTCAGCTCACGGAGGTTTACTAGTTCCGTTAGCCGGCTCTCTTTCGCTTCTTCTCCCAGATTTGCGTCCTTGATAACGTCCTGCATTTCTGCATAAATCATGGGGTCTGTGACTGTTCTGGGTCCCACGGCGCCTTGAAAGGAGGCATCGGTGATGACTGCCACTGCCCATCCTTCTGTGCCGTAGAAGATACGCAGTACTATCGACTTCTGTGTCCTAACCCTGTCCACTACACTCTTCACAAACTGTAGATGGTCCTGCTTTGCACCTACTAGCGTTCCCTGGCTCATTTCTCGAAAATCATACATTAGATCCGGTCTACCTGCGTTGACTGCAAAGCCTAGCTCGCCTCTAACTCCCAGGATATCAGTGATCTGGGCCGGGGTGAGTAGTTCGTTCGGGTTAGTCCCTTCCACCTTCAACTGCCGCAGCCCTTCTGCGAATTTGTGCTCGACTGAGAACTCGTAGCACTTTCTTCTGGGCATCTGAGTAATCTTCTTACCAGCATAGATACCTTGCCCAATTGCAAACTCCTTGATGTTAAAACGACGCAACAGAGATCCTGCTACTGCCCCTGCGTGTCTGCGTTCCACTATCAGCACAAAATCATCTACTGTTGTTGGGAGAATTGCATAGGGCTTTCCTCTGGATGGTACAACTTGCTCCACCTTGTATTTCGTCAGCTCCTTGCCTTCTTCTGCCATTTGTTCTTCCCACCACTTGTCCACAGCAATTTGAAGGTCCTCCATCCCGTCTTTGTGACATGCCGCGATGTGTAGGTTTGCTTTCTCTGTGCCACCTCTAAGCACGAACAAGGCGGGCGCTAGTGGTGAAGACGTATAGCCTCTAGCCTTGACCTCCGCTTCTACCGTTCTGAAGAAACCCAAGGAACCACAGCTATCGCCGTAATGCGCTAGCCAGAAAAGGCCCGTTGACGATGGAAAGAAGTTGAATTCAGCTGCAACATTGTAAGTGAAATCAGAACGCAGGTTCATGGGAAAACGAAACCGCCGCCTCGCTGAAGGTGCATGTTCATCGCTTTGGTTGAAAGCTCTAGGAGCATCCACAAGAATAGTGACCGGTTCTTTAAAGATACCGGCCGCACTGGCTGCTAGTCTTAAATCTCCTTGGGAGACCACTGGGGAACTTGTGTCCGTGGCCGGTGACAGCTTAACAGAGGATCCGTCGCAGACTATTCTGCATTTGACCTTGAAAAGGTTAGTGGTCGACTTCTGGAGGTCCCAGATCGCTCTAGTTCTCAGTTCTGCTAATCTGTTGTCAAACTCGTCTCCTTCTTCCAGGATCTTAGCCACAGTCTTTCCTGTTCTCTGGATCGTCTTGAAAATTCCCTCCATCTCCTTCCGCAGTGCTGCTTCCATGGCAACTTGGAGACCACATCGAACCAGAAAGTATTCGTCCACATCGGTTACTTTCTCGCAAGACTCAAAGCGTTTGCGAACGTCTGGAGGTAGCCGAGATGTCAAAGCTGTTCCGTCTTGTTGCCTCTCCAAGCTAACATCCAGCACTGGACGGAAACGTAGAACCAGGATTATGTCTCCTTCTAGCTTTTCTTGCAGCTCTCGCACTTCAAAAACTTGGCGGTCTTCCACTTGTCCGATAGGTTGCCCATAGTCAGCCACAATTCGTTTTTCATGGTCGGATGTGGGGGCTATCCCTTCCCCCCTGAAGAGGATGTATTTATTGCAACCGTCTTGAAGGACTGGCGAGTGCCTTACTGTTCGGAAGGTTTTCTGGATGATTACCTCTTTGAGGAGGTTGTGGAAATCAGGAGCGACCAAGGACTGTGAGAGTTGTCCAAATTCCCGCTCATGAACAGCGATAGATGCGCGCTGTTTGACAATTTTCTCCGCCAATGGAAGGTCGTCGAGACGAAGATGGTCTATTACTTGAAGGTCGTTGTCTCCTACACGTATTGAGAGAGCAACTACGTCTGGAACGTCGTTGTTCTCGAGTAGAACATTATAAATATGTGAAAAATCTACGGAAGTGTCGCTAGCCGTGTTGGGTGGTGTTCGTTGCTCGTTGATGTTTATCATTTGTGCTGCAGCGTGTAGTGAAGGATAAGTCGAGCTTTGCCACGATGTCAGAAAGTCGCCAAAAGATTGCCAGCAGGTGGCTTTGATTTTGTGGCTGTTGTTGTTGTTTTTGAACAACAGTACTTCGAGAAACGTTGTTACTTGAGAGAATTTTCGGAGTAGTCGGCGTTGGAGGCGGTCAATCTGAACTGCCTCAAGAATTTTTCCATTGTCGTGCACGGTGTCGTCCATGAGTATGAGCACTCGCGCATCTGCTTTTTCTGCATCAGCGAGGGAGTGTGACTTTGTTGTCTGGTTTGTTCCATGCACTAGTCGCAAGCTGCAGTGTGCATAGTTATTTTGAAGGATTTGTACTGTTTGTGCAGTGAACTTGGTGTGGAGAAGGTCCATGAGTGGACCTTTTGTTCCTAAAGGTAGCCCATCTCGAATGAGGTGAATTCCTTGTAACGCTTGTTTGGGAGGATCGAGCAGTTTGCCGGGAATTGCGGTAGATGTCCATTCTCGAGCAGGCACCAGGAGTCCATACCCTCTTGCTTGCAGGTCACAAATTTCATCACATTGCACACCTACCATGTGACAACGAAATGCTGTCGAGGCACGCGCTCCCAAGTGTAGATGTTGATGTTGTTCGGCTGCAAGCTTTGACAGGAGTCGGAATTTGTTGCATATC